GGGGGAAGGGGGGAGGAGGGGATGCAGAGGAACGCGAGTTCTCCAGTTTTCGTGGGGGCTTTGCGAGCGTCGTTGCTCGGAGAAGTGGAACCTAATTTCTCGGTTCGACCGAAGTACTCATCGTCGTGAGGCTCGCAAAAATACGAAGAACGACTGATCTTTTTTGCGAGGGGAAAGGACATCGCCGATTTCAGTCTCTTTCCAATTGCGTCGCGTGTCTCTTCCACCCGCGCAACGCCAAGGCCGTGGCGCTTCTGGTGACTCTCGATAACGTGTGATTCGGCTCTCTTTTTTTTTCGCTGGGCAGATCACAGATGGAATTGTTGGGCTCGGGGAAAAGTCGAGAGTCGCTGGGAACATGGGCTTGGCGTTTTCTCCGGAATATTTTTTTCCCTCACGTTAATACGAAGAGATACTTGGGGGATTTTCGGATCCCTTTTCTCGCGGATTTTTTTTTCCCCTCCAAATATCGACTGCATCTCCTCGAGTTCCTTGCGAGTGGTTTGCCATTCGTCTATTCTCAAAACTATTTTTGCGCTCCGATGAATAAAAAAAATTAAAAATGCAAACGTCCAGAAATCCGGATGCTGATCTCGGTCTGCCCTTTTTCCATCTGCATTTTCGGAAACTAACTCGCCCGAGACTTTCTCCGTGCGAACGAAAGCGGGAGAAAACTTCGCCATGTTGGAACATGGCTGGCTTTAATTTAATCGCTTCAGATCGAACGTGGACCCCGTCCGAGTAGAACATGGAACACGTAATAAGCACGCAAAAAAAGTAAAAGGACGATAAACTCGAAACCTGTTTCTGTCGAAAGGGTTTCGACCAACTTTTTTGCAGGCAAAATGCGACAGAGATTGGCGATCCGGAAAAATCCTTATTGTGGCTTTCGGCCCTCACAGGTGGCTTATCTTGAACTTGGCGCTTATCTCGAATTTTTCGTTTGTTTACTCCGCATTTTCCATCTCCATTGCAACTGAGGGAGTCGAGGGAAACGGGGAAAAAAAAACTTCATAGTCTCGTTAGTCCCTTTCAGAGCTTTTTTGTCCGAGGATATGCACGTTGGGGTTGGTTTCCAAGTTTACTTCGATAGATTCAGAGGACTTCACTGTTCCCAGAAAAAGAAAAAGAAAGAAGAAGCGGGATATGCTCGGTTCAGTAATCGGTCTTCTTTCCCTAATGAGGGTTTCATTTGCATCCATCACGCCACAATTTTTTTTTTGCAATTACCGTCAGAAAACGAAAGTGGGGCGACACATGACCTCGCACACTGCACACGAGGTGACTACCAGCGACAAACGCTTCCTGTCGGCCGAGACCCAGAAGAGAGCACGGGAGCCTCGGATCCCTGGGACCCCAGCGGAAGCGACCACCTGCGTCGACGCCCCAAGACACGATGCCCACCTCGCCCTCCTCCACGCCGACCTCCACGCCCTCCTCCTCGCCCGATCGGGCGAGAAGTTGGAAATCGTTGGCGGGAGGTTCTCGGCGATGCAGCCCACCGCCGCTCCGCACACCCATCGGGAAGTGCCACGTGTCGGTGACAGGGCCAGGCGAGCCAGACGAGCGCGTTCGGGGAACCCCCTGAACCCGGATGACGTCACGAGATATCTAGGAAGATCGTGGGACGCGCCGAACGAGCCGCCACTGCTGCCGCTTCAGACCCTAATCCGCCTGGATCCGTTCGGCTGTGCTTTCGTCCTCTCCGTTTCATTTTTTTTTAAAACAAGCTTCTCAAGCCCTGTTCAGTAGGGCTTCTTTTCATTAAAGAGGGCATCGACTGCATCACCTTATATCTCTCTCCCGTTTCCTCAACGAATCGAGGCAACAGGGAAAAGGGATTGGTCATCGCTGCATCACCGAATTTTTTTATTATTTATTCGTGGGTTGCTCCGTTCCTGTTTTTAATGCTACATATGTCATGGTTTTCCCATTCTCATTCTACAGGTGACGGGAGGGAAACTATTCCCGGTGGAGTACTGCACCGAAGTGCTTTCAGTCCTGAAGCGGACAGGATGCACAAACACTGAGTCACCCCAGGAATTCCAGGACGATCGGACGAGATAAACGGGGAAAAGGCTCGCTTTCGCGCCTGCTCGAGTGCTCGCCGCCGGCTGATGGCTTTCTGAATGGCTGATGAGTTTCTGAATGGCTGATGGATTTTCGGTTTTCTTTTCACCGTAGCGGTGGAACTCCATTTCCGAGTTTCGGGGTTTGGTCATCGGTTGCAAAATATGACGCGTCCCTAGTATTCTACGAAGCTTTAAACCGAATCCGTCGCACCATGTTACGAAGAGTTTGGTGCAAAACGGCAAAAACTCAAATTCGATCGCATGGAAGTCCATGGATAATTTTTTGCACTTTCGATGCCCTTGCACAAAGTCAACTGAAAGTCAGGATCTCGAAAGACCGGTTTTCACGGTTGGCCATCGCACCGAGGCCTTTCCGAAGACCCATCCGGGATGAAGACCCATCCGGTCTAAGATCCGGGATGCTCAATGGACCACCCCGCCGGCAAACCGGCACAAACCGATGTGCAAAAACCACGCAAAACCGTCCGGGTACATCAGCACGCGATTTCCCGATGGAATTTCCCCTCCCGCCTTCGCCGGCTATGGGAAATTCCGCCGTCTCGAATAACGCTACGCCCGATAAGCCCTTGCAACACCTCGACACGGGCAAATATATGAGATATACGGGAGCGAAGTTAAAAGTCCCCTCGACCGTTTTACAACGCAAATAGAATAAATCCTACGTGCTTCTGTTGCACGATACACATTTATCAGCATACGTCCCACCTTCTCTCCAATATTCCCACGCATTCATCCCCTTCTTCAAGCCGACGAAGAGTAGGATTTACGAACCGGATTCCTTTCCGGTGTTTCTTCGTGGGACCGGATAAACGAAGCTTCGAAGATGGCCAACCGGGGCCATCGGTAAGATGGGGAAGAGTTCGCTGTCGCGGAATTCGCATCGTAAATGACCAGGCTGTGCAACGTGCAGCAATGAATACAAAAATAATGACGTAAATGGCTTCCTTAATGAGAGGAGGAATTTCGTTGAGGCGAAAGAGACCGTCCAACGTCTCGGGGAAAAGTGGACCAGCCCAAACGGAGACAGGGCGAAATACAGGAGGAATATTTCTCGAGTACAAACCTTACACGATCGAAGTATACACGCATATATTTGTAAATTTTGCATCCACGCACATGGATGCGGTCGGAAAGGGGAGTCGACAGAGGACGAAGAAGGATTAAGGAAGGTGTTAAACGGTGCACAAGAGATAAGTTGTTAGATCGGGCTCGACGAGCGAGTCGAGTCGGATCGAAGCCCACCAGACGAGTCGATCGTATCGAATCGAGTCGGTCTGCACGCGTGGGAACCTCTTCACGGTTGTCTGCTTAAGGCGACACGTGGGTTGCGGCTCGCGTTCCATCGACCCTTCGCTTCTCTTATCTACGGAGGGTGACAGGAATTGTTATGGATGAGATCCTGAGTGGGACTGCCTTCGGTTACATTTTGATAGGAGGGGAATGTGAGCGTGAAGGTGAGCGTGAAGGTGAGCGTGAGGGTGAGAGTTCTCGACTCGGCCGTCTTTCCCGCTGGTCGCGTGAACGCAAAGCAGACGTTCGTGGCTCTCCGGGGATTGAATGGACGACCGAGATCCGAGTCGAGAGCGGCTCGAAGCGGTTCGAAGCGGCTGGAAGCGGTTCGAAGTGGCTGTCGTGGTCGCCATGTTTCTCCGTCCCTTCGGCTCTTTTTTGGCCGCTGGATGGGAGGCTTTCGAGGAGGGGAATGACGACTCGGCGGATCCGGGTGTCGAAGGTTGGCTTTTACGACCCTGGTCATCCAGGGAAATCTCGCCAGCATCGTCTCGCGTGAGATTACGAGGCATCGCATAGCCGCGGCTGCTCGTTTGCCATGTCGCGTTGAAACTGCTGCGAGTGTTGCTTCGACGCCAGGTGGATTACGCGATCCTTTGCCGCAGGATTGAACTCAGCGTCTCCTGGTTTCCGGGATGAAGAGGAAAACAGGAGGAAAAAAAAATAGGCCAAAATTTTCCTTTCTCGTCAGAATGGGCACTTTTTCTCTTGAGAGCAAACTAAAGCATGGAAGGAGGAGAAAAAAAAATCTGAAATGAAACAGGACAAAGAGACCTTTGGCTGAGGTCAACCGAGAATTCTCCGTAGAAGAAGCAAGGTCACATCGATTTATATTAAAATTCCTCACTGATTTCAGTTTCGATTCTTCATGTTTTCACGGGCACTCGAGTGCAGACGTCCTGGCTCTGGGAAGTGGAACAGGCAGACGACCATCGCTCACACTTTTTAGACAAGATTCAACCGCAGATTTCCGTTTCAACCTTCCAAAACCAGTAGCGTACGAGATTGGGGGGAGGGGGCGGGGAGGGGGGCTCGGAGGGGGGCGGGGAGGGGGGCTCGGAGGGGGGCGGGGAGGGGGGCTCAGGCCCGTGTTAAGTAGCAGAATAGGCGAGTGTCCCAGGTGGTGGATTGGAAAGGAGCAGCAATGCGCACCCTGCGTAAGTTCTATAGTACTCAATTTCTTCTTCAGCCCCCCTTACCCCCCCCCCCTCCCCCCCCCCCCCCCCNCCCCCCCCCCCCCCCCCCCCCCCCCCCCCCCCACTCATCAGCTGTTGGCTAGAGTGCATAGGCACCGAACCTATGAGGGCAAAGGGGCACGTAGTCCCCCCCAACAACCCAGATAACACGTTATGTTGGGCCCACGTTGGGTAAAAGTGGGAAACGTTTGCTGAACGTGAATGTTGGGGAACGATGTTGGCCCAATGTTGGCCCAATGTGGGCATATCCCCACGTCGAGATGAACCGCAGAACTCCTGGTGGAGAACTCCAACACCTTCAAGTTCTTCGCCAGACCACTAGATGGAGGTATGGCTCTCGCTTTTCGCACAGTACATTCAAGTTCCCTTCCCTCTTTCCCTGGAATCGTCCTCGCAGGATTGCATGAGTACTTCGCCATATGTCTCTCCTAGTTTCATCATAGGGATCAATAAACGCGGACACTTCGTGATTGTAATCTACTTATTCGTGATAGATTCATGGAGCCCAGACCATAAACAAGCTCATATTCCCGATGAGAATCCTTTTGAAATACAAAATCTTGAATCGTAGAAAAAGGAGGAAGTGTCCATGAACTCAATTCCGCTATTTTCTTCATCTTGATGACAGAATGCGGAAACAAAGGACTGATATCCGCGATGCTCCGCAGCACCGGGTGAGGTGGTCCATCCTCTGACATGTACTGTAATCAGTACAGGCAGATCGACGTCGGTACTGTCCTATGTCTCCTGCCTATCTAAGGCATATAAATATGTCCATGGTAGTTAGTAGTACAGGTTCCGTACTACAGGCACCGAAGATGGAAATATCTCCACTGGATAATGAATTTAAGCATATGGTACGAAATGATGGCCAATGTAGAGCAAAACCCAGCTACTTTGGTAAGTGGGTTAAATGTTGCGCTTCAACTTCCTGCCAGCGTTGGCCCAACAGTCACTTTTATGTGGGGCCTACGTGAAAAACCTACGTTGAACCAACGTGTCCTGACGTTGGAAGACCACATTAGGCCAACGTAGGCCCCAAGAAAAATGTTATCTGGGAATGTTATTGGGGGAAGGGGGGGGGGCAATTCCCCCAGAGAATGGCGGAAGTACAAAAAAAGTGCGGTATATGGAACACGGGAAACAAAATGCTGTTTCATGAAAGATATGCTTTTACTATCTGTATAGAGTTCCAACTGAGAGATCCCCGTCACCACGTAAGGGCATGGGGTGGAATGTCGATGCCCACCCCACCTCCCACCCCCACCCCCACCCCACTTCCCCCCCCTTCGTCAAGCAACTACCTTAATAATGCTGAGCTACCCCACTGGATTGATTCCGTCTGTTATTTGAGGGGAATTGGGACCAGTTACTTCCACTTTCGCCCCAGTGGAATCTCGCCCCCGCATTCCGATCGACAAGAATCGCTAGATGTGACTTAATCTTTGACCTACACACGGTTGGGACGAAAGGGCACAGGGGCGACTCTCCACGCCTGATACCCATCGCTGCCTCGACCTTTAAAGAGGGAATTCCCGGTTTCACCATCCCTCCAAGTGTAAAACGGAAACTGATACGTGCCCAGAAGAGCCACTTAAGATATTCTTCAACTCGTGGCTTTGATCTAGAAGGAAGAATCGCACATGGAATCGCGGCTGGTCGTGCTGGAGACAGAGTGCCAGGATAAGGAAGAAAAAGAAATGCAGGGACTGAGAGGCTTGGATTCACAGTTTCCAGAATCAATTTATCTATTTTGGACAAACGAAATTCCTTCGGAAACAGTTCGTTCAGATGCAATTTTTTTTAGCCGTATGACCTAATTTGTGTATTTTATACCATCATCAATTGACTGCTTCATAAGAACATTGATTTCTGAATCCACGAGGGACTCTAGTTTCTATCCACTCCAAGTCACTTTCAGTATCCATTTTACATAGGGTGAGAAAGTGAAACTGGGAGTTAACTTTACCTCCCCTTTTAAAGGGTTGAGGCAGACGTGGTTATCAGTCGCGAAATCAACGTTTGGAAAGTCGCCCCCTTTTATCGAGATGAGATAAAAAGGAACATTAGCAACTATCTTTCAATTAAGTCTCGGGGCCAAAGTGGAAGACACCTTAGGACTTTGCTCTCTCCAATATTTTTTTTAGAAGTCGGCGCCTATGCTAGGGTGCACATGGTGCTAGTGTTGGCCTTGTCCGTCCCTTTCCCCCAGTTCGTTATTCAGCTCTCATAATACCGAGTCTAGCCGTCCGAAAACCGGCCATACGCCACCGTCTAAAACCATCCCGAAAGAAGGGTGAGCTCACTTTCGTCCCGTTTCGGAGAGGACTCCCGTGTACGCGATACGGAGGACATAGTAAGCCAGCAACCAGACGAGGACATCTTTCCACACCGATTTATACACGCTCCCTTTCCACCTGCACCAAAGGATTCCGGTTCAATGTACTCGTTCCGGTTGGAAAAAATAAAAAGTAAAGCTGCTTCGGGGAGAACAGACCGGCGAAGGAGTTTGAAGAACCCGCCACAGTATCCGGCAGTGGCGACCTTCTTCGTGTATATGATCGTCATAAAGAACACATTTAGCAAGACCCCGAAAACGACCTTCACATCTTTCTCGCCTTCTCCCACTCGGTGATGCAGGCGAGGGAATATCGGAGAAAATGTCTCCTTTATTCCTCTTATCGGCTGTTTGCAGTTTGATATGACGGACGCAATCGGACTGAGTCAGGTCGAGTGTTAAACAATATTCAGGGCCGTTCAATCTCCTAGAGTGGGAGTAGACAGTACTCGATCACAAAGGGCACGGCTGGAATTTCCGCCGGAGGTGTTTTCCCTCTCAAAATTTCGAGATTAGATATTCGATAATAGAAAAAGATAAAATAAGGGCAATCCTCCCACTCTCCATCCGGTCGCACACCCGACCGTACGCCGAAAGATGCCTCCGCACTATTTTGTGATCCGAGGAACAGACACGTCGAGACAGCTCTCCTCAACACACTTCTCAGAACTGAGAACGAGAGCGCTATTTAAGAGTGATTAGATAGCACCAGTTTTTATGACTCTCGCTCGAGACACACTTGAGAGAGCAGCGAGAAGGAAAATGTGGAAGAGAATAAAAAAACCGACAGATGCTGTGATAGAAAACAAACGACGCTTTGTTGCCGAATCACAATGCAGGATAAACTGTGAAGCCGAGAATCACACACCATATTAGACAATGGTAGCAATAACAGTCATGGTGGAGGTAACTAGAAGCCCAGGTCATCGATAGAGTCGTGCGAAGTCCTTCAAGGCCCTCGACACATCCTTGATTGCTTCCGCCCTAAAAACAAATACAAGGTGAAGAGAGATAACTCTCGAAATTTTTTTTCTTTCCCCCCTAAAAATATTCCAACACCGAGACTCACATCGTGATGCGTCGATGGCACTGAACCAATTCCTGATGTGTGACTCCAACAGCTTCTTTCGACGGTAAGGACTTCAATGCTTCTTCCAGCCACCCACACACCTTCTATTGTAGAAAATAATAGGCCTATTATGCCTGCAATATAGGGTCGGCAAAGATAATGCTTTCCTCTTAAATGACAAATATAAGATTGTTTGAATTCCTTGATTTCGTTGACATTTTTCTACTGCACAGCAACTTCCGTTACCTAATAACTTCCATCTAATTCCAAAACAATATATTTACGATTCAAAGAGTTGGCAGTAGCCTTGGGCTTCAGGACTTTCTGCCCTGATGGCCTAAATGTAAAATTTACGGAACGATTTATTACATCCGCTAGTGGACATTTTTTTGGGATGGCGAGCCCCTTGTCCCAACCCGCTCCCCTGTACTCTATGACGTCTTCTTCCTGAATAAAGGTTTTGCCCGATAGCTAGATGTCTTACTCTTCATTTTCTCTATTATCTGTTTTACGTGCCTTATTTACCTTTTTTTTTACTTTTAAAGTCTTAACACTCTTTTTTGAAACCGTTGTGAGGCAGAGGAGCAGCTCGTTTTTAAGTATGATATTTTTACCAGTTCTTTTAAAAGGTTACCACCTCAAGTAACATCATTTGGAAAAAAAAGCATCCAAGAACTATAAAGGTTCTTCAACTCACACAAGCCTTACGGTGCCTTTATTGCGAGAAGTCAATAGAATCTTTCAATCAAGAGAATTTCACCTACTTCCTGTAGCACTTGTCAGCATATCTAACCATCAGAAGTCCCCATTAGATTAACATGAGTGAGGGGAAAGTGGACTTCAGCGTGCAATATGTGCACATCTGCCTATGTAAACCGATACTGTACTTAGATCGCGCATAAACTATACATAGCATCTCCTAAGAGTAAGGACTGTACTGATGGCAGTCTTTGATTGAAGGGGAGATGGTCGGTTATGATCTCACACACAATGGGCAGTGCCAGTGCCCACTGTAGTAAATAGATGAGGAGGGGGGGAGGGAAGCCAACAAATTCATGCCCCAACATTCTTCATTGTTATCAACTTTTTTTTTTTACAATAGCTTATGAGATCAATGACGCTGAATCTTTGTACCTTTTTGTGTAAGGGGAGACAGGAAGCATATGCAAGTTTTATTGGCAAAGAAACAGAAGTGAAGTAAGATGTCCAATGCTACCATTTGATGCAGTTGGCATAGTCCAGAATAGCTGAATCATGCACTTTTGCAAAGTATCAATTTTTTGCTGAAAGGACACAGGAAATGTATTATGTCCACCAGAAGGTGTAAATCATAAGCATATGACTATGTATTGGAGAAGATAAGGGAAGTCCATCAGGATGTCTGATGCCAGCATTCTTTTCAAGGAAATTATCAGCTGCCAGGAGAGACTTCTATAGGGTAATTTAAAAGTGAACCAGACAGAAATTGGTTTAGAGAAGATGCTGGAACTGCTGCCCTTGGGCAACAGTTCCAGCAGGAGAATGAGGTAAGGGAGGTAGTCATGGTCAGCTTTGATCAGACCACTCTAATGAGTGGGAAGGAGGTCAGGATCAGAGTGCTTATGGATGCTAGTATGGCAATACTTGCTATGACATTAGTAGTAACACTTTTAGACTCACTCTCTACACCAGCTTATATAATGAATCCAGCCCTTATGAGGTGTTTCCAGAAGGAAAATCCCAACCAGAATTTTAATTTGTAAATCCTTGAACTAAAACAGGATTGAATTTTTAGTATGCTGTTTCCAATATTAAATTGCAGCAGGTGAAAGGTAACAAAACCATTCTCAGTCCAAAAGGAAAATTCAAGCTGGAAACCAGCCTGAACTTTAATTTCCAGCTGGGCTACAGCTGGAAATGATATCTGCTTCCAGACATGGTCCAGTCAAGGTGGCCTCTTTCCTATATGTGCATATTATACTGTTTTCTTGCATAAGACCAAGGGACATTTCTTGCAACCCACCAAAGAATGGGCTTAGATCCATGATTTGGGAGCTGCTGTTCTAAATCTATGACTCTAGAAAGTTAAAGCTCTGAACACACAGAGCAACATGCATCTCACACCATGCTTCTGATCAGTGGGACAATCAAGTCAAACAACCATTGTGGATCTTGGCTTATGCATGTTTACATTCTGCAGTTGAATCAAACTAAGCAATTATGCAGTACAAAAAAGGACCATTATTCCAGCACACTGAATGAGCACTTCAAATGCCAGATGCCACTAGATGGAATTCCATGAGTCTTCTCTTCATGTCACTCTATGATAACAAAACAAGATTAAGTGTAGACGAGGTAGGAAGTGGGATCTTACTGCACGGTCAAGCTGAATCATGCAGAAGAGGACTTCAGCCAGGTCAGGAATCAAGTATGACGGATGATTGACAGATGTTTGCACTATGGCTGTTGTCAGGTTCTGTCCATTCCCCTCCATCAGGTTCAGCACCAATCCTCTTCTCTTTGGAAAGTCCTCCTTGTGCTGCAAAAACAAAGAAAGGTTCCTAATCAAGGAAAAGTTTAACAATTGAACATCATCAACTTAATCACATATGTTTAGGGTTCAAATATAGTGAAGATCTGGGTAAACTCCCTAAACTTACTTACTCCTTTTAACCTTTTTTCTATTACCATTATTAAAACCAATTCAATTTTTGACTCATGGCAGCCAAGAAGAAAGGACATTTTCCCTAACAATACTGTGATACTCCTTGGAAATAAAATGCTAGAGCTGTACAAATGATAAAAAGAATGCCTACATTGCAATATGTCCTGACATGTTCTCTGAGGTTATAGGACAGTATATGTTCAAGATCACAGGTCTTATTGATATGAAAAGTGCGAAAGATACCCAAGTGCTGGAGGTCAGGCTATATTGTACCTCCCTATGGTGGGCAGGAGAGCCCACCAGAGGTGCCACATGACTCTGATGAAATATACAGGAGTTGTTCAAGTGTCTATAGATAGGAGATGGGAACATATGCAAGGCAATCCAGATACAGCCAATACATACCAGCAGACACCCATCAACATGATGTTTTCAGTTTTATATATGACAATTAACCTCTTAAGCAGGTATGATGCATGTATCCATCATGGTGAAATGCTCCCTAGATGGTTTCACAAACATGTATGCAGGGTTCACACTGGCTTTTTAAAATCTTGAGTCCTGGTGCTTAGCTTCAGCTCAGTGGGAACATGCTCAGGTGGTTGTTAATGAGTCCCACAGACTTAGATATTTGCAAATATGAATCCCTCTAAGAAAATATGAGTCAGGGACTTGTTATAGTGAGTTAACGTGAACCCTGAGCATGTCATGCAATTTTAAGTTTGAGTTAAATATGAACTCAAAATAGGAGCATATACTTGAAAAAGAGTGGTAAACTTCTCTACACAAAAATTATCACCCTAATGGAAAAAAATCCTCACTCTGGTGGTAGACTTCTGCCTGAGAAATTCTTAAGGGGTTAAAAAAAAATAGATTAGATATTTCATACATAAAAGTTGCCCTACACCTCTTGGGTCAAAATAGAGAAAGAAAAACTGATGGAATATGCCATTTGTGACCTTCAGATCACTTTCACTTAAGAGACACTTGAAATACTAGTTGACACTATACAACCCTGCAAAGTCTGAACAAGAACTAGCATTTGTGAGAAACTGGAGTCATACCGAACGAGACAGCCCACAGTCTAGAAGGTCATTGAGGAACTTGGAGATAGAATTGTGGGCATCTCGCTGCTCAATAGCAATGGATGCGATGGCACAGTTGACAAGACCTTGGATGGTTGTACCGTTTCCGGACTCCAATAGGGGCAGGGGACACCTCTGCACAAATCTAGCACCCCAAAATGAAGAGAATAAACTTGTGCACAATTCACACCTACTCATTCATAATTATATGGACAGTGGCCTACCTTGTGGCAAGTCGATAGAGGTCTTCGAGGGTCTCTGGGTGCATGGTGGCCCCAGCAGAATCTTGAAACCTTCTGTCGCCTGGGGGAGGGTGTAACTCTTGAAGTTGGGTGAATGCAACAGGCAAAAATGCATGAAGCATCCCCAAAAGCAATTGGACCTGATTCTCATCTGATCCATATTCATCAACCAGGACACTACCCAGGTAGAGGCAACAAGGGTGGCGGTGCTTTTCATACAGTTCCACCATCTATGGGATCCAAAGAAGTCTATTTCAGGGGTCTTGTCATTGAGAAGGGACTGTCACTAGGATCTATGCATGACTGGCAATCATTGCATTAGTCACTTGGGTATTGCATCTTTTACATTCCAATGGCTAATGTGAGTCAGAAAGTTAAAACAATGTGGATGCTTCCTTTCCAGGAGTAGAAGCACTAATTCTTTGGCAGGTAGGGAAATCAGGTGAAAAGAGGTGCAGGGTACATCTGTTTTTCTATTTTTTTTTGTCTTTTTATTTTGTTTTATCTGAGGAATATATATCATTTTCCTATTTTAAAAAAATCTTGTGAGACCAGAAAAAAATCCTATTTTAAAGAGACAAATCCTATAGTTTCATCCATGCAAAGGTCACATGGAAGCAAGAGAGATGGGTAAGTGTAAGGAAATAATGGAAAACAATGGACACAACTAAATACAGTTTCATTCAGTTCCATCATGATCTGTTCTGGCACTCCACTTGCTGTGAGCTTACAAGTCACTCTTGAAGAATTATTAATGGTTACTGAAAATATATAAGCAAGAAATTTCATTCAAGACTTAAGATCTAAGAAATATACAGAAAATTGTACCATAGAGAAAGTCAGAATTACCTTGGCTGCCATTGGTTGTAGAAGGTAGGAGCCATCACTCCCAACACATCTGAGGGCAAAGCGAACACACCGGCATGTCCTTTCTATCACCTTTGAGTCAGCCTCATACTTGCTCATCACTTCACTCATCACAGGCCATAGCTAGAACAAAAAAAATTCAGTTTTCATCATCCAGACTCAACTACCATGGGATGGGAACTGGGCTCATGTTAAGCCTAAAAGAGGGCCCCTTACTTGACCAAGCACATGTTTGCATGGGTGGACTTCCCCATTGACAACCAGTGGATTCAAGTGCCGAAACATCACCGACAAGCGGTCCAGCCATGCTGTCGGATCTTTGCATCTCCCTCTCACAGAACCATTCACTATTTCTTCTTCCTCCTATATCATAAATACCACCTGTGAAACTTTTAAGAGCAACAGATTTGTGGTTTTATTATGTTTAAAAAGCATGCTACCTTGACAATGTTCATGATGGGCTGAAGGTGACATAGGCACAATTGATCCATGCAAACTGAAATTTCTCTAGTTGGTAGCCTGCCAATGATTGTTGCCACAGCTATGAAAATGAACAAAAACATTAAACAACGCACAGAGCATGTGAAGTAGAACAGGTGATAAAATTTAATATCCCACCTCTCAAAATGTCAAGGATAGCACTGACAGGCAAGGGATGCGGGAGGGAATCAAGGGACAGAGCTGCATTAAACAGTTTTGGTGCATGGGGAGTCATATGATCTCGACAGGCATTGCATATTGATTGCAATGCCACTGATGCAGCCACTCCAAGAGGTGGCCCTGTCCCCAGAGCATTCAGTAAATAAGTGAAAACTTCCTCTGCAAAAGAAAATAAACAAAATATAGATAATCACCTTTGTCAATGGGCTCCTTCAGTAGTGACTTGGGTCATGATTTGACTCAACACTGCAATTACTTAGTGTTAAGACCATAGTCAGTACTGACTGCACCCAGTATTTCTTATGCACCATTTAAAAAAAGGGAGTATCCAAACCAAGCTTCTGAGAGTGTCTTTCAAGCCATTCACAGAGCTCCCCTAAAACTTGAATGGAGGTGAATCGAACTGCAACATGGATCTCTGGTGAAAGGTTGAGTATGGCATCTATCACATGTGGCACTACTTCTTCATCCTCCCTGTAGAAAAAAAACAAAAGCTACATACCATGGAAGGTCGAAGTTTCCTCTAAATTTTATGCAAGCTCTCCTTAGCTTATTTTGAATGCACAGTCAGTCACACATCAGAGATACCTACCATTATCAGCAGGGATACTTTAACCTATATTTTGCTTTATAGAAGTAAAATCTCTTCTGCCCATTCAAACATAAGATAACATATTGGACTTTTCACCCCATATCAGCTTTGTCCATAATTACTTTTCAGTTAGAGTGAATTGAAGATGCACACAGATCAAGTTGTAGGCTTATTGGTTTTGTCTGCAGGCTCTTCCCAGTTTCTAGTCCAATTTTTATTACTGTTGTGATTTACAGTTTTCAGTTCATTTAATCAAAAATGTCTAGGGTCTAAAGAGTTTTTTTTTTTAAGAGTCTAGGCCAGATGGAGTACCATTTGACCTATGAGACTGAGGTTCTTGGAAACTTTTCTCCTCATCTTTTTGATGTACCATTTTTTTAATTATAAAGTGCTGAATATATATGGTCTTAAAAAAAAACTGTGCCAAATTATTTTTGCTAATGACAGTACTTTTAATCAGATCTATGAAATTTTTTAAACATGGCATGTTAATAGAGTAAAGCCAAATAGCCTAAGAGGCAGAGGGTGTGGTGTTTTCCCTTTGCCTACTAATTTGGTAACGAAATGTTTGCCTGATACCAAGAATAAATTTCCTTTGAGTTGGCCAAAAATGTCATCAAAATAAGCAATAAAGGGAGAACAACACAACATCTGCCTCTTTGATAAGGCATGCACAAACTTTCCTTCACTTCTTTGGTTGAGGTGAACACATCAGTGGGCTTGTATGGCACACTTTTTTACCTATTAAGTTTGAACTGGCATAGAACGTGATAATTTTCTTTAAATTAGGTACTTCCCTTCTTTACTCTATTCACATGCAGTGCTTAAAAAATTGCATCGATCTGATGAAAAGTACCATGATTATAATAAAAGATGGTTTCATACAGTTTTTTTTAAACACCGTGTACACCGTATATGTCTATGACCACTCCCATCTCTGGAAAAAGAGAAGAGCTCGTCACTCCATATATGAACAAATAGGATAAGGATAGGATGGAGGGCTGAACCATGACTAACTATTATTCATGTTCCTGAAATAAGTAGTCTTCACATATGGATATTTAAATGCACACAAATGGAAAAGGGTCCTCAAAATATTTTTTTTTGCACCACATATTTAAGTCAGTCAAAAGTCAACACAGAATGCATCTATGTTTCAAGTCACTATCTGTAAACTATGAGTGAAAAATAACTTTTGAAAATAATAATATTTTGAAAAATGGATGTATGGTTTTGAAAAAAAAAAAAAAAAAGGATAAAGGTACAGGAACCTACATTTGTAAAAAAAAAAAAAAATAAAATAAATAAAAAAAACATTGCTAAAGGTAATGAAGGACTCACACAGGGACATTCCTGGCAACTGCATGCATGACAAAGAGTGCAGCCTCGCTGGCTTCCCAGGAAACATTGGGAGAGTGGAGGATAAGAACCATTTGCCGAAAACAAGTGCTGCTCCCCACGATGAACACAACATCTTTGATTAGCTCTGATGCACGGTGTCGAAAAGATGCAAAGTCATCTCCTTCATCAAGTACACCATCCTGTTGAAGGAAAAAGTACAAAACCTTTATTGGTCATGTATAGCAGATGGAGGGATTAACTAATGAATCTCTTAAAGGAACCAAGACTTTAAATAGGTGCTTTTGTTACTTAAGTCTTCAAGCACATATTAAGTATATTAATGACTTCAACCAGCCACCATACACCCATATATGGATGGCTTGAGGGAGCTTGGCATAAGTGACATCTAACCTGCCAATAGGATTGCCAATGTATCTAATGTGAGGTAGCATACAAGCCTTCGTGCTGTCAGTACTGGGTGAGTTAGCTCATGGGGGAAAAAGAAAAATGCAAAACTTTCCAATTTTAAAGCTTACATGGTCTGGTTCCATTTGCAAGTGCCGACAGAGGGACGTAAGTAGCCTCTCAACATAGGGTTGGAAGATAACATTCAGGCAATCATCATTGTATTTGAACACTTCTTCTGATAACCTGTACCACAGATTGAAAGTGACCTCAGCCACCTGCAAGTAAATCATGAGACATACCAAACATTACCTGAAATTTGATAAATCAGCAAAACAATATATTTTCACAAATAAAGGAGTTTTACTTCATAATCATGATGGCCCATGCAAGTGATGGCAGCCTCAAGAGGAGCCAGACCTCTTGAGGGATCCTGCACCATGCTTTCTAGGAGAGATTCTGCCAATTCTGATATCACACGACATAGATTTGAGCACCTGAGACAAACAGAAACAGAATGCTAATGAAATTCAACTCTAAAAAGCCACACAAATGTTGACCAAGGAGAAAGGGATATGCCACAAACTTCTCCACATCCTCATGAGCGACAGCCATATGATAGACTTCAGTAAGGGCAAGAACACGATTGACCATCATATGAGCCAACTGAGTGTGCTTCTCATGATCCTCCATCAAGACCACAGCTGAACAAATGCATTCAGTGGCTGCCTCATGCAGGGAAGGGGAACTCTGAGAAAGAAACTATCAAATAATTAGAAACATCACTCATTTACTCATTTAATTTTTTTCAGTGTCCAAGTAAATTTCAGGAAAACAGAAAATTACCTGAAGATCATTCAGGACACTAAAAGCCATTTCAAGTAAAGGTCCAGAGGCAATCAAGTCAGAGGGGAAGTCAGAAAGCGTCATCCAAGCCGAGAGGCACAACAAAACACGTCCCCTCAAGGATTGAACTGCTAGGCATCGGAGCTACAACAAAATTCACACATATGGGTACAAGAGAAATGAGAAAATGACAGAATCCTTTTTTTTATTTTGGATTTTTCTTAAATTAAATTTTCTTCCTTTTTTACATGGAGTATAGTTGACTCACAAGGAAGTGAAGCATATCAGGCACAGATTGAAGAAGGATCATCTTCAAGGCCTCTCTCCTCTTGTCTCCCAAACGGAGGGACCTTGAAGACAATTCCTCAGGAAGAACACGGAGAATGTCCAATGGTGGTAAGAGGAAGGAATTGGAGTCATCAGCTGGTGCTAGGTATGTAAGGATATCGCTTACAGGATTCCTCCAAGATGCCATTTGGAGCGCCAAGTCAGCCAAGGCCAAGCACAACTGTATTCAGCAACATGGGAAAAAAAACTGGACAATGCAAAAGCTCTCTAAACTGCTTCAGTCCCATGCCACCACCTAAATGTCCAGCAGACTTATGATCTTTCAAGGTCTCAAAAGACTTTGAAAAACAAAAGACATTCACTGATACTACTAGCCATATTCACCAACAGCATATATTATAAGAAAAAAAAGTTAGATGAATTTCAGAATGGTCAGAGTTTAAAAAACAATCAATTTATACTATATTCAATGCAGTGAACACCTTACACTAGGATCAACATCTCTAAAATTGCTGCTTTAGGCCTAGTGGGTGGGGGTAAAATTTCAATCAATGCCATTAGTGTCATTTGTGTGAGTATGAGCATGAGCTTCCTATGGGAAGCAATTATAATTCCTCATCAAAGGAATTCATATGAGACTGACTTTTGGATGCATCTGCTAACCAAGAAGAGGAACATCATGCTCAAAATTTACCAGTGAGTAATGAGAAGAAAAAGAGAGACAGATATGGAAAAATAATATAAAAAGCAAGTCCTGCTTCTGTACTTGGAGTACCACCAGAACATTAGGCACCACACCAAAAAGTGCTCTCTCCCTCTCCTTACCCTTCACTTGTTAATATGACATTATTAGCTGGACCCCTGCTTATGCCACTTAACAACCCCGTTGATATTGGAGGCTCAAATTCAGGTAGGGTAGACATTACAGGATTTTTCAATGAACTCATCCCATGATAACCAACAAAATGAGATTAAATTTTGCAGTCTCTATTTTTTTTTTAGCATGCACATACAGTACCAGGACTGGATCAAGTAAAATAGAAAGAGGAGGAAGGTAACCTGTGTGATGATAACAGGATGAGTCTCTTGATTCACTCGTTTCAAATGCTGAAGCAGAGAATCCCGCAGAGATTCATGAGACTCAGAAGGCAGTTCATGGAAGGAATACTGAATCTTTGAGCGCATTGTCTGTGCTGCAAAATAATTTACTTCCACTCCTTCATTCCGAAACAGCAGCTCATCCGACACCTTCCAAGCAAAGACCTGAAACAGTAACAGATTGGTAGCAACTTAAACCAATGACACACAGCATCTATTGCTAGCTGTAACAGAGGCAGGTTTATGAAAGGCTTGAAGCAGATCATTCCATATTAAATGTCCAGAAAAACTGAAAAAACACAGGAGGCATCACACATAAGAAGCCTGCAAAATATACCATTCCAAATAAAAACTTAGAACTCAAAAAGTAGCAGCGGCAAAACAATCTCAGGGTAATTGGGACAAAACTGGCATGGAAATGTCTATCTAAAATATCCACCAACTATTTTCTGCAATGTATGGACACTCCCAATTCAGTGGCTTCTTAACTTCAAGTTCCACCCATTTCACATTGTGGGTCTCCCATCCCCAAACAAAAAATGCAGAAGAATGGGCACCTCCCACTTAGCCTCATCCCCAACCTTGGTCAGGTGCAACTAGGCAGTAACAAGATGGAGGGGGAGGAAGGAACTTTCCTCTTCTTTGAGCATTGGCAATAAAGCTAACAAGATGAGGCAGCATTAACCTTTTCCACTCGAATGGGCGAGTATACTCACCCATTGGTACATTGGGTCTTGCGAAAATTTGAGTGGAAAGGGTTAAGAATGGTGAAGATGTCTTACTTCCATGAGTGCTCAATTTGCCTTTAAAAATGATGTCATCACAGCTTATGTGTGTTGCATAAAAAGTGCAAAGCAGGTGTCAAGAAAGTAGACTTCTAGCATGTGCAGCCAAGGGAAATGCAAGACAATAGAAGCATTGGTGCAGTCAATATCATTCAGGACACAAATAAAAAGGATGTAATGAAAGCGATGGCGAGAAATGCAATAATATTGGTCTTAGGATTGGTAGAATTGGAACTATTTCATTTCTAAGATGTCATTTATTCTTTAGATTATACCTGTTAAGGGCATTAATTCAAATTTAGATTGAGAATTTTCTTTGTACTCATGTTTCCTAGTTTGTTCATCACCATATATGCACTTTCAAATTTTGCTTCTGGCATTTTCTTACTCTGCCTGCAAATGCATTGCAATGTCTGAAAACCATCAAGTCATCTTGACAGCCCTATTCTCAGCTGGGAAACTCCCATAGAACTCCTGCTATAAAAAGTCTGAAATCTTTAATCAGTGTCTCTGATACTCAACCATCTTCCTCACATTAAAAACCAAATCCAAGGCCTACAGTTGCATTCTCTCTAGTTAATCACAAAGTTACTGGCAAGAACACCTCCCTGAAATGATGTGCTAGTATAGAGATTTACCCAACCTTCATATAACCCTTTTGAAAATACAATTCATCTTCATGTCAAGGTAAGTCACCTTCTGATAGGCATGTGATGATTGAGAATGAAGCCAAAACCCATGATATCAAACTTCCTTCTATGAAAAGGTTACTTCAGGGTTCTAGTCAAGAAACTTCCTAAACTGGGCAGACCCCCTCCATCCATCAATTCCTGCAAAGCAACCCCCTCAACAATCAGGAATGAAAAATAAAATGGCACCATGACATTTACATGGTAGCAATGTCACAACTATGGCAGACAATTCTCATTTTCCATGCTTGATTATTTTCATAAATAGAGCAAACATTCATGCTGAACTTCAAGAAAGTCCAAGATAGGGTCCAGTCATGTTACTAAACACTTGATATGGAATGACACATGATAAGCTCAAACAAATTTATGGAATCAGGAACAGCAACACTCACAGATCTCTGAAGCTCTCCCAACCAAGCAGATGCCTTTTCCTTATTGGAAGTGTCCAAATCATGATGTAGAGTCCGAATGACTTGAACAACCAAATTGATATCTGGCATGACTGCTTCAGCCATGTCTACAAGGAATGCTAATAACAAAAAATGGAATAAAAAACACATGTATAATAATATATAGTAAGAAACATGTATGCCTACTTGGGATGCACTGATCCTGGGTTAACTGATATTGATACCTCCCAATGCCTGTCAGAAGTGAAACCCCAACAAAGGACCAGACCTACAGGGTGGGCAAAAAAAAACCAAAGCTATCATTTATGAAGAGTTGTCAATCTCTTTGTAGGCTGTCAATTTTGATTAAAATTGGTAGGCTTATAAGGTGACACAATTGGAGTTTGTATACCAAATTTCAGTCATCTGGCTTCAAAATTATAGGAGTTGTAATTAATTTCTGATGACCAATGACAAAATGTGCTATAGAAAATATCGATATAACCCTGAGGCTGGGATGAAACAGAGGTCTGAATTTATTGACCTTCCATCCCTGCATGATGTTACAAAGGAAGATTGGGAGGCACTGCCTCAAAGGTTTATTGACCAAGCCATTGATCTGTGGTGTCCCAAATTACAGGCTTGTGTTCAACAGAATGGAGGGCATATTGAGCACCTTTTCAGTAGAAATGTACATCCCTAAACCAAATTGTGTGCTTTCATGTTTGGAATTTACGCATCTGTTTTTGTTCTGTTCGCTTGCTTGTTTGTTTCTGTCAGTTGTGAGAATTTTAAAGCTGAAAGAAAAAATGAACACTTACTTTTTGGGTGATGAAATGTAAATGAAATGCCAATCTCACAATTTTTGGAATTTTTACTTGAAACTTGGCACACAAACCCTAATGAGTTACCCTATGTATATACCAAATGTAATCAAAATCGGTTGCATATAATCAGATTGACAATTTACCAAAAATGATAGCTTTGTTATTTTTTGGCCCACCCTGAACCTACCTTGGTAGGTCTCAGGCTACCTCTAGCACAGAAGGGGAGAAATAATAAGTCCTTAGGCACTCTAACAACCCAGCACTCATAAGTCTTGCCAATTCTTATACAGCTCTGGAGACATTTTGTTGACCAATATATTAAGCAGAGTTCATATTCATGCAGAACTGAGAAATTCTATCAAGCATGTCCATCTGCTGGACTGCAATCCAACAATACATCAAGAAATATGCTATACAACAACTGGATGCTATATGCTGTCTGGCAAAAATGTTTGCAGTACAGCATACTGGATTGCATAGAAACCATTCCCCTTTTTTCAGGAACAGTAGAATATACATTACAGCAGATGCAGTGCATCTACTGGATGCAGTGGGCAGTTTCACCGTCTGTTAATGCTGCTGTGAACTGCAGCAAGAGTCTAGCATGCTGTACAACACAGTATAGCAGGGGTATGAATTTAGCTTTGGAATATTGAGTATAGGCCAAAACTTCCTGTCATTCACAAAGACCCACAACAGAACCTGTCAGACATAGGTAAGTCAAAAGGGCAATGGGTATAGAAAGGAGTGGATGTAAGTTTAGGTATTATGCCTAATGCCTTTAACCCACTAGAACCATTTTCTCCAAAGAATTTTGTACCCTTGAAAATTAACTTTCATTATATTTTTTCTCAGGTTTGTGCCAACATAAATATAGAGTTTGTAAAAACTCATACATGAAAGTGAAATGTGATATCTGAGTGACACGACTGCATCAATGCACTCAGTACTGAAATACTCTATGATGTAATAACATGACCCTTACAAAAAGTTCCAGGAGAGGTTTTCATATGAGCAAACCATGTACAGAAGTTAGGTTTTAGAATGATCCTTCAATTGTGCATCTATGTGAATCAGTCAGCACAGAAATGCCAGAGATGAGATGGAACATGGGGAAGCCCCCTATCCCTGTTTTATTCAAAAATGTTCTTTTTTAAGGGTGGGACATTGACTATAACCTTGAAATAAATAAATAAAACTGAAAATGGCACTAGGAATTCATTTTGAAAATTCCCATAGCTAAACTTTGAGATGATGAATTGCAATTTAAAATTAATTGATTAGTGAAGAATTCTATTGCATGGTCTATCTATTGCCTGGCAAGGTTTTTTTTTATTTAAAAAAAAAATGAGTACAAGAGATGTCTCAAAAAGTTTTCAGATGGTATATTTAATGAAATCTGATTTTGCATCATGCTCAATGAGATCCATGCTTTCAAAACTTTAAATGACATCAACCTGCATAAGGGCTTGTTTTGCTTTGAAACCTTCTGTCTTTTAAGTGGTATGTTGACTGTTAATATTTGCAACAAGACCTAGGCCTACTACGTGTATGCACAAGGTACCAGTATGTCAGAAGCTACAGAGTAAAGTGCTAATGGGAAATTCATTAAGTCTAATGCAAATATGGAAAACAGCTAAAAAATTTCAACAATAGCCAAGTATTGCTTTACTGAAAATAAATTCATGATGCAGATTCAAAATGTTATTGCTAGACAGCTAACTAAACATACAACTATGTATGACTGTATATGTATGTAGACTTGGCATCTCAAAGCAATATAGTATAAGGGGGTTACATAGAGAGGTCTGATCCAAGATTGATGTTAATTACACACTGAAGTAACCATGAATTACAGTATTGAGATCATGAAGTCACTAAAAGCAGTTTGTCCTGGGGTAAAGATTTTCCATGGTCTTTCAATTCAGAGGGTTGAATTCCATTTAAATACGGGGTGTCCCAAGAGGTACAGAAACATTGCAAAAATTAATATCTCACTAAATTATGCCTCAAATAAAATGATGAAAACAGTAAAATGAAGTGCAACTCAAACATTTTTCAACCTTTTATTGCAATTCCACATGGGCACTATTTGTGGCTCTGTAGATGTCCGAACGATGTTCAAGCTCTTACCACAACTTAAGCAGTGTCATGTATAACTGTCTGGATATCTGCAACAATTCTGTTCTTCAGATCAGATTTGAGATTGCTTGCTCAAGAAAAGTTGACAATGTCCTTGACATAGCCCCACAAAGCAAAAAAATCCAAGAGGGATGGGTTCAGGTTCAATTAAAGTCTAATTTTCTAAGATGTTGCAACTGCACATTTTAGCAAGCTAAGGCATGGAAGAAAAAAAAATTGTGGATTGAACAAAGCAAATTCATTTCATGGTCACCAAGATCACCTGAACTAACCCTGGAGGGCTCTTTCTTGTGGGTTACATCAAGGACATCATTTACTGGAGAAAAATAGACAATTGATCAAGATCCAAAGAATAGAATCATCTAAACTATCCTGGTAGTTATGCCTAACACTCTGGAAAAGGTGTGGTAAGAGCTGAAACATTGTGCACTTGTGGAATTGCAATAGCAGGCTGAAAAATGTTGAGTTGCACTTCATTTTACTGTTTTAATCATTTTATTTGAGACATTACTTAGAGAGATATTAATTTTTGAAATGTTTCCATACCTTTTGGGACACCCTGTATTTTGGCCAAGATGCTACAATATTTGCAAGTTAGGTTGGAAGACATATACAACATATGTTTGCAAACTGACAACCATAGCAAAACGACATCCTACCCTAGCAAAACTAATAACTAAGATATGCAGAGTGACATTGGGTCCAGTGACTAAGTGGTTCTGGCTTCTGAGTAAAACCTGGGAGGTTAGAGATTGAGTCCAGGTGAAAGCAGCCTCTTCCTTTGTTGACAGCAGATGATCTACCATACTTTCATGAGGAGTGTCTAATTGCCATGGAATAACACACATGCCGCTCAGTGTGTCATGTCTAGGAGATATGAGTGTAGTGCACCTTAAAAACCATTCATGCCAGGCATGGGCAGAGGCAACCAGTGAGCTGCCCCAAGGCCTCCTACAGGGCAGGAGAGAGGTGACTCAGCCTGAGGGACTGTGATTTGCTTATGGTCCCTGTCCCCCTTCCTCTGTGTACTGTAATAAATCTGTTGTCATTTGTGTCTACCACATGTCATGTCTCTTTTAAAAGAATAAAGATATACAGGGTGAATAATTTATTATTTATTACATGAGTGAAATTTACCCAGAGGCAAAGTAGCACAATTTGATGATAATGCAAGAAATCTAAGAGTTGGGGTATCAATATGGTCCCATTAAAAACCATGGAATACATCTGAACAATCCAAAGGATTATACCTGTATTGGCATCATTTTATTATTAGACTTAGGCTTAAAATTAAATCCTTTTGATTTTCAACTCAACCAACCCAGCCCAAACAGGACGTGCTTCGCGGCTCAAATAAGTTTCCCTCCTGTCCTTTAAACCTTTTACTGTAGTTTTCCTAACAGGCTATATTAATTTCCTAAGGAACACTTACCGTGCGATCCTACAGCAGAGTCACTTAGGTAGAGGCTTTCGCCTTACTCTGAGCCTATTTTAAGTGACTGCCGTCAGGGTTTTTTGTGGTGTCGAGGATTGTCTTTCTTTGCTTACCCCCTAGGTATAATGAGGCCTAACTCTACCGTGAGCACACAGAGGCGGTTGATCCGAGCAGGAACTCCCGGCAGAGCGCCATGATTGTATGATGGATGACAACGTGGCTGCCCCCTTTCCATCTGATGGTATCCAGTACAGTATTCCGACTAATATGATTGGTTCGTATGCATCGTGTGATGAAGTGTTTCTAAGTGGAGACCAACGTTTTTTCTCAGATCTCGATGCTCCCAAAGCTGGCTAAGCTCTTCGTCGTCACTTTCGTATTGGACGTGTAATTTGCTACTTAACTGAAAACCCGTCACTCTCTTGCAAAAGAGTATCAACTTGTATTACGCAACTTGATTCTTCAAGGCTATGTCAGAGTTAGGCATGCCATTTTGGGTGATGATTGGACTGCAATATAATTTAAACTAAAGATGGTACTGTCATATATTGAGTTGCTGAACGCCTTTTTTCCATGGGTGACTTGATTTCAAAATTTTCGATAGGTGACTATAAATGATTTCAGACATTGCGACAACAAGTGTAGTTGGCCCCCCTCTTGTTCTACTGAAGTGGTTGCCATTGTAAAATTTAATAGAAATGACAAAACTCTCTTGTCATGGAGTGGTACTGGATGTGTCAGATCCTGACACATCCAGTAGCTAAGGTAATGAGTAAGTAGTAACTAAGTAGATGAGGCTAAGGAAACCAGTTCGAAACAGGCTTAAGGCTACTAATGAACTGCATGTAAATAATGAAGAGCTCCTGATAAAGAATTCAGAGTGAATAATATAATTGGTTAGTGCTCATCTTGTTCCTGACCAAGTCATTCTTGTTTTCAGGTTTCATTTCAGCACACTACCTAGATGATTTTTTCTTGGTTAGGCTTGCCAGTTCTGGTTATGACATGCTCCTTTATTGGAAATTGAAAGGGGGTAAGCCCTTTACTGAGCCAAAAACCTTTCTTCTACACGAGATAATCTGGCCTACAAGAGTAATCACTTATTTCTGAGACTTGTATATAAATTTGAGAAAATTAGATGATCAATTTTCAAGTATAACATTATGTGGCAGCACAAAAGGTTTGCATGTTAGTCTGATTTGATAAGGTTGGCATTAGATGGAGTAAGCATGACATTACAGATCCTTTGCTGTCTTCAGAGAAAAGTGTTGGCAATACACCCCCTCAGCATCAACAGAGTCTGTTACACCCTATTTTGGACTTGTGTTCCTGCAACAACTGCACTGGTGGAATACAAAGAGTGCAAAAAACAATGCTGTTGTACTGATGCAATGATTAAACCTAGAAATATGGCTGAATGGGCCATCTTGCCAATCTGAAAGCCATAGAAAATATATAGCCCTGTTCTGCTCATTATGGGGGCTGCATAACAATGTATTCATGGACTTATGCAGGTGTGTCCTATTTTCCATTCACTTCAGGTTTTTGGTGACTGAATGCTTGTACCCAGATTTACCAAGAATCTCATTTCTGGAACCAAGTTGTCCATCTTGGTCAAAGGTCTATGGCCACGTTTTCTAGCTTTTAAAAGTGTTGAATCATCAGTCTCTGCTTTTCCAAGACAAGAAAGCATGAATGTAAATATTCAGGATATGAGAAAGCCCTATAATTCCCCAAAGGATGTGTTTCTAGAGAGCAGCTTGTTCTCCAAGGACCCCCTTGAGCAATTCAAGCATTGGTTTGAGGAGGCTTCTTCAAATCCACAAATCAAGGAAGCTAATGCTATGTGTCTGGCAACTGCAAGCAAGTCAGGTCGTCCTTCTGCTCGGGTGGTGCTCCTGAAAGGATTTGGTGTGGATGGATTCAAGTTCTTCACCAATTATGAAAGTAGGAAGGCAGAAGACATTAAGGAGAACCCACAGGTAGCCTTGTCCTTCTATTGGGAACCTCTTGTGAGACAAGTGAGAATTGAGGGGATAGTGGAGAAGTTGAGTGAGGAGGAATCCACAGCCTACTTCCAGTCACGGCCCTTAGAAAACCAGTTGGGTGCTTGGTGCAGCCGACAAGGCTCCCCTATTACAAGTCGAGATGTTCTTGAAAAAAGAATGGTTGAACTGAGGCAGGAATTTCCAGACACCCAAGAGAAGCTACCAAAGCCACCATACTGGGGAGGGTATTGTGTCATTCCAGATACATTTGAATTCTGGCAGGGACAAAGCAATCGGGTCCACGATCGAATTAGGTTTCGTAAGTGCTCAGCTTCAGATCTAGTTGATGGAGATTTGCTTCATCAGGGAGAGGGTGATTGGGTTTACGAGAGACTTTCTCCCTAAGGGGTGTCTTCATGAAATGACATCAGAGGATGATCACATCTACACAGGATTAGAGGGCCTGTAATCCTAGAGTTGCTGGAAAAAGATCTCAGAAGTAGTACACAACAGGTTTTTTTATTTAGCCACCCTATATATATTCATGGCAAGTCCTTAATGTTGACATGAGACCATTGCTTGAGCATTAGAATGAACTGAGACTAATTACATAGGCTCATTGCTTGTAAGTTTGAAGCAATATGGGCATAAATGTGATAAGTGACAGAATATATATTAAAGTACTGTTTATTACAGGACAGCTATTCTTGCTCCAAATATAACCCAGGAAGGAAGTGTTTAAGAAGTCTTCCAACTCTCTTTGGGTGATCTGTTGCAATGAGATTGCCAGAGACATTTCTTTATGACTATGGCTACCATAGCCACATGCTTGTGAGGCTCCCACGACCCACCATTCCTTTCCACCTGATTTTCAAAGACTTCATGTCTGAATTGGCTTATTTGTGCATTCCAATGACATACTAATCTGGCACACCATCCACATTCTCCCATGAGCATTACAGACTGGGTCAGTTTCCTCAACAGGTAGGGAAGATCATAGTAGAGGGCCTCCATCTCCTTCCATGGGACACATCCATCCTATTTTGCAAGCAGAGCCAGATGTAGACCTCGTAGGGGCCATGGAAGCAATTTGATCTTGTGTCTGACCTTGATGCTTTCAAGTCATTCTGCCATAATTTTGGCTCTACCCTTTTAATGAATCTATGAGGACAATCCATTCTTATCCTTGTGCAGCTTTACTGATGGACCATTGCTTGCTACAGACTGCTTGAATTGGAGAACTCTGCAGTATCCCAGCCTGCATTGCCCTAAATCCATTACGGTTTGCAAGTGAACCCCCATGCACCCACTTTGGGACAAACCACATCCTTTGGTCAGGAAAGCAGGCCATCCCCATCCATGAAATTCTGTGGCTGATGGATAGGGAATGTCTTGTGTATCCCCATCTGAAGGTGCAATGATGCAAAATGATTTTGATCCTACCTTTGAGTATCATGTTTATGTCTTCCATTGGAGATGTTGAATAAAATGTCTAGTTCAATTACCTTGCTTTGGTTCCATAAAGAGATTATGGAAGGATCAACTAGAATTGAATGATTTCTCTGGGAACCCATCATGGAACTTGAACCAAATCAGACAAGTCAGGAACAAGTCACCATATGTTCATTTTAGGAAAATGAGAACTGAAAGTCAATGTCTCCATTTTCAGGATTGAATACAACATGATATGACAGCTGGTTCACTTCCTTTTCCACTTTGAAGTGTTCTTTGAGAAGGATAGCCCCTTGCTTCTCATTCATCTCCCAAACTGGTGACTGACCAGGGACAACTCCACCAATTGGTCCATTGCCGATTCTGTTCTTGCATTTTGGACTCAGCTGCCATTCCATCCACACAGCCACTCCATTGCATCTCCCATCACTGAGTGGAAGATAAACATCTCATTAGATAAGGACTTGCATATACTTTTAAGCTAATCAGAGATAGTAATGAATAAAAAGACTCAAGAAATGACCTCAAAGGCCAAACCATTGCTTACTGTCTAGAGAATAATGTTATTTTTATTCCTATGCTGGTTCTTATAAATGAAAACAATATTAAGAGACTTCTGTGATAGGTAGTGCTAGAAACTTCAGCCAATTTTGCAGACAATTTCCCAGGCAGTGAGAAAGGTGAAAAGAGCAACATGGCTTCTACAGAATTGGAAAATGTAATGAATAGCTTTAGAGTGTAGCATGAATACATCCTTTAAGTTCAGTTTGCTCAAGCAAGCACCATAATGACACAATTTTATAAGAGTTTTTGAACAGCTACAGAGACCCACCCTCATGGATACAGAGCAATATTTGTCATTCCCTTGATATTCTTGCATCTACTACTAACCTGAGGATTGATGTAGCTCCCTGAGCTGAAATTGCTGTTTCAGGGAGAGGATCAGTGAGATCAAAGGTGAGTAGATGAATGGGTTCAGTCAATGCAATGCTTGGGTATTCCCAGAGATGTTGAGCTTCCACAGGAGGATCACTTCTCTCACATGCATTCTGAATCCAAGCAAAATTGATGATACAAAGGTGATATGACAAGGCATAAGTGATGTTATGACTTACATTGATGAGACTGTCAAAGGGTTGCATTTGGAAGCCAGAGACTTTGTGGACTGGGCTGCGGATCTTCCAGAGGTCTTGAAACTCAACAGCAATAGCCCAGAGAAATGCCTTGCAGGGAAATATCCTGACATCTTGGGACAGGAGCCCTGCTGTTCGAAGGCCAACACACTGGTACCAGAAGTAGAGATTGTGCCAGGGCAAGAGACTGGTGTAAAAGAAAGGCTCTGCAACCAGCATATTCACCTGGACAAATAATGTATCATAAAAATGAAATCACAATCTCTGTTGAAGACCACTACAGTTTGTAAAAAAATTGCTTCCAAAGTATTTTTCAAAGGCAGCAAGGAAAGAAAAGTTCTTCTCCTGTCATCTTTTGAGTATGTCTCAAAGGAAAGGTGTACATGAAAATAATCAAAATCTCAATGACTTCAGGAGAGGCATTGGTTATTTCAGCAATAAAATATCTGATGCATGATGCAAACATCTTCAGCTACACAATTAAATGGGATATATGCCACTGATGCCAAGGTAATCACTAGCAACATATCTTCATATGAAAATGAGGATATCGTAGTCAGAAAAGTAAATTTAATATGGTATGAGGGCCCTAAGGAACCATGTCTATAGCTCCAGGATTAAATGGACAAGCAGTATAAAAATAAAGCCAAGGAAGCTTAAATTGTAATGTTTGCATCACAGCCTCAATAGACCATTATAGTAATGTAACTGGAATCCTGTAGTCTAATGACCTTGAAATTCAACTGAATTCACTCACTGATTTTCCATCAAGATCCAAAAGGGAGAGATCCTCGTCACCCTTTCCAAGAACTTTTATGATGTCTTCAAGGCCATTTTTAGCAGAAATTGATTCAACAAGAGATTGAGAGAGGGGATTTGTTTCCAAGGCAAAAACCCTTTTTGCACCAAGCTGAGCCACCATGTGTGACAAAAGGGAACCATCACTCAGACACAAACAGGTGGTGTCTGGTTCAACAAAGGGCTCCAAGGCATCAAGGAATATTTGGTTTCTTCTGGAATCACTCATCATTCCTAGTCTGGCACGGCTACAGATGATGTGCAGGGAACATGTACATACTGATCTTTCTACTGGCCTGAAAGAACAAAGTTAGGATTATCTAGTAACTCAGTTCAAATTTATTTGCTGATACATTGAGGATAAAGTGAGTCATACAGAGGTTGAAGATGAGGCTTTTGCATGTGAAACCAAAAACTATATTCATCATGGGCAGTAGTGATGATCAGATCATCTCCCTTGGAGAAGGAGACAGGTTGAGGAAGGTAATAGATGGCTTGCATCCAATGATCTCTCCATGCATATTTTGAAGTATCATTCCACTTAGGGGCACAGGATATCACAATCTCTCCCTCACAATCCATCTTAAGAGTCCACCACACGAAGAGGATGTGACATGTGCCAGACCTCTCAGCCTTGACAGTAGTTTTTTCAGTTTCTTCATTTTTTAGTGGCTTCTTTTCTCCAGTGAAATCAAACCTGGAAAAACAATCAAAACCACTAAGTTTTCAGGTTCTCTTTTCCATGAATATCTTCATCATAGCCTCACAGAAAATAGGAGCTGAAGATGGTGAACTTAGATTATTGTATGAAAAGTTACAAGTCTTCCATTCAAGTGCATCATTCTGATTCAGTAGACCCCACAAGTATAGGTTTTTCAATAGAATTTTTATTGCAATGTGTTCAGACATTCATGTGCTAATGGCCACTCAATAAAAAAAAAACCAGTAAGACCTATTCTGGTGTGATTTCCTTCTTCAAAGTTTTGTGCTACGTTTGGACGTCATGACTCACAAGTCGCAGCCACAAATCTTTAAGATAAACTTTGACATGCAAGTTGACTATGTTGAAATGTGATGCAGTAATCAGTAATACTCAAAGGTAGCACTAGTAGACAGTTTCATAAGCAACATGACTAGAGGAGAATTCATGATGTACACTTGCAAGCTGCAGCATCTCAATTTCAGGTGAAGATGAAGGCCACCAGATTCAGTGTTCTTTTAGGACTCAAATCTGATTTAGGTCTTAGAGACCTTATGTTAAAGCAAATGCTTTAAAACTGTAGCTTGGATGTTGAACCTCAACTTTGTAAATCATTCAGGTCAAAAGATATTGAGCAACTGAGGCCTGCCCTTATAACTGACTGACACCACCCAGATTGTGAGATAGGATGTTGTGGAATGAAGATCTACCACAGTGTCATGTCCAATGGGTAGCACCAAGCAGATTCTGGGTATATTTCTGTGTAGGCAAAACAAATGGGTAATGACTTGTTGGTCACCCTATATATATACACGATTTGCACTTTCTCTAAGTGAAAAATTAGAACAGGGTAGGAAACAGATTAACATGGATTTGAAGAAGAATAGAAAATGCAATTTCTGACAAATGAACATTGAACATGGCCCTCCATCACTTCATGGAAAATCCAGTGAGTGGGGTAAAACCCCATTCTATACACAGTAAAACCTTGCTAGTCCAGACTAGGGCAAATTGAGAATTCTGCAACACTTGTGAAATTACAGGGTAATTTCACAACATGTCACTTTTCCACTGTATCATTTTCCCATAGGAACCTCAATCAGTACCCTATCTAGTTTAACGGATAGTGCCATATGTCATCACTGTGATCACAGCTCTTTCATCTCAACTGGGTGAATAATGGCGTATGGACAACGGAAGCAAGGTGCTCTCCCTTGCTGAATACTGTGCTCTATAGTGAGAGTCCAATTGTTTGGCATGAGTAGAACATTATCTATAAATATATTTAGGGCATATGACAACTTAGACTGCACCTCCATTTAGTCCCTTGATAGTTTTAGGACCAAGTAAGCGGTGATTGACATGCACAACTCCCTAAGTATCAGCAATGCCAACATTGCGGAATTCCCCGTTCAGAAAATGAACCATTGTTGAATTTCATAACTTCTTGCTGGAACATCTCTTGTATACTCCTGACAGCAAGGTTTTTACTTTTGCACTCTTTATCATTCAGTCTTCTGTCCTGCTTATGTAGGTCACATCCAAATTCCAATTCATAGTTCCCAATAATAAGTTGTGATATTGCCATTTGCAAAGAAATGGGAAACCCCAAAGGTAAAACCAAAAATGCAGCAAGAGCCAGAGGACGAAGGAAATAGCCAATAATAATCAGCAAGAAGGATAGGACAAGCAATAAGTATTTGCAAGAAGATAAAGATGTGGCAATTAACACAATAAAGTCTGGCAGGATGGGCTTGTGTGGGACTCCAAAAATGTATGGAGTGCCACAAATAACCATAAATTATAATAGAGGAGGGTTACCAAATTATGCTTCAACAGTGGAAATTGAGACTATGATAATTTTACTGGGTGGATTACACTAAAGGAGGTTTAAAGCTCCACTAGGCTGAAGTTAGTTTCATGCAATCCACCCCCTTGAAATAAAATAATATCACCAGGATAATTTACAGCATACATCAGAGGTCCTTTCCCTTTTAAGCATGCTCCTTGAGGCCCCCACTTACCATCGCCAAAAAAAGAGCCAAGAGAAAAGACAAAAGAAGCCCTTTACTTGTCATGGGGAATCTTGGAGACATCCTACTTTGCTTCGTTTGGTTGAGATTTTTTTTTGCACTTTATGCCTGAACTCCTGGTAAATCTGAACATAGGAAGAACCATTATCCATCATTGCCAAAGTTAAGGGCCTGAAAACTAATAACTTCCCCCTTGAAGAGCTCGGGGGCATAGAAGAAGGGTTGCAGAATTCCCAGAATAGTGTTGCAGCTTTAGCGGAAGGGGTGTGAAATTAGCTGAATGCTCATCAGGAAGGATGATCATGACAAAATCTAACCCTAGAAATTCTAATGAAATAAATCCTTCTGTCCTTTGAGTCATCTGATTTGTCTCTTCCACAAGATTCATTGAAGGTATAATACAACATGGTCCTGTGCACACAGATGCCATCAACTCCAGTGAAACAAAGGAACAAACAGTTGGGATCCATCTCAATCCTGTTGTTGCGGAATTCACAGATTCGCCCTAATTGGGAGGAGGGGGGGGGGTCTGGATTAGCTGAAAGTATGGATAATCCTAAATATATAGAAAAAACACATTACACGTGTAAATGAAGCAAAATAAACCTAAAAAATCCAAAACAGTACTTTATATTAACTTTGTAAATGATCAATAAGAAATATAAAACATCTAAACTTCATTAACTTAAAAGGGGTTTTGAGGACTATGTATTGTACAAAGGCTACTACACTGTTTTTCACACAAAACACATTTTATTCTGAGTCACTCTCAAATCCTAGTCTGGATTAACCAAAGTCCAGAGCAGCAAGGTCCATATTAGTGAGTTACACTGTACTGGGCCATAGGCCAATTTGTTCGGCAGTGAGTGAAACAAGAGCACTGCTCAAGATTTTAACCCCAACAGAATAGGGTTACTCCCTAATTGGAATAGGATTTAAACCTCAAGTGTTGCTACCTTAATTGAATTTAATAAACAAGCCCTAAAAGTTGTAAAGTAGTTGCTTACCACATGGTAGGTATGGGAGGAGACAGTGTAGAATAAATCTCTTGAGGTAATTCACTTAGTTGAACATCATGAATGGCAGGGGCCCCATGACATTGCCTGACATTTTCAGGGAATACGATATCTTTGTGTCTTGGTAAACAAATGGGTGATGGTTGAGTCCATTGATGAATTATTTCACTCTGGGCCATTTGAACATACACTGTGGATGAAGCTGGAATCACTGTGGAATTTGGCTGAGGAAGGGAAATCAAGAAATACAGTATGTGCAAATATCTTGAACTTTGACTTAATTGCATGAGTTTTTTTTGACATACCTCCAAGAGTTCTGAAATAGCATGTCTAAATGTACCAATAGCTCCTTCACCGATCAGTTCTGTGTCAAAGACTTCAGTCACCAGGATGTTCGCACGATGTGGCATGTCACCATCAGGTCCAACATGCATGTCTGTGGATCTTTTTGGGACCAAATGAATCTTTTCAGATAAACCATTTGCCTTGAGTATGTCCCTGCAACACTTACTCATGGGAATGAATGCCTGTATATAGAATAAGATGCATTAGAATCTTATTTTTCAAAAAAGTGTAAATTCTCTACTTATTGGAGTTTGGGGAACAGTCGGATCAAAGCACCTCACAAGCAACAACAGAATCAGCTCCAGCTCTTGCTGCCATCATAGATAACAGGCCAGTTCCAGTCCCAATATCTAAAACATGAGCAGGGATTCCTCTGGATTTGTGGTCTGCAATTGCCTTCTTCAATGCCAGCTCGTATTTCTCATTCTGGAAGTGCAAAAAAATTAGCCCCTATGAGCATAGCTCTGCCTACCTTGTTTGTAGGTATCTACAATGAAGTTGAGTTTGAATAAATGCTGGAACCCACTCTATCATGATCATGTAGCATGTCAGCATAAGCTGATCTGGAAAAAAAAGAAAACAATTTAGACCAAGCCTGGCTAGGTAATAATTTGCTTGTACCTTCAAGAACACATAAAAAAAACTCACATCTTGAAGACTAGACTATCCAAGAATGTTAGGGAATGAAGAAAGCTAGTCATTCCATAAGTTATGCCTCTTTTAAGATGAATCATGGATGCTGATTGCCGGGTAGCTACAGTCTTATAGACTGCCAAATATTTTTCTTTGCATAAAATAATTGTGGTTCTTTCTGACAAAGAATACATTTTGGATATGTATGTCTACCTCTCATAGAAATAGGCCTAGGAATATGCTCCAACATTGAAGAGGATTTTTTAATAATGGAATCATATGACATGATCTAACCCAATCATATATTGCCTAAATCCTATCCACATCCCAATACAAAGTTCAATGAATAGAGGAAGTATGGGGGCTGCTTAATGTAATTAGGGTCCTCAAAGTGTATACAAAATTAAATAATAATATTTTCTAATACAATGTTGCTGTGGCTCAGTGGATAGGGGCTTGGGCTAGCATGTGGGAGGTCCAGGTTTGAATCCCACCAGTGGCAGGCAGCATTCTCCTGGGGCTGACAGTTCACCCAGCTGCTTTCAGGTACTGGCTGCTCTCCCTTGGGCACAAGCATAGGCCACTCTGTGCTCCATTATGTGAGAGGCAGGGGTTTGGTGCACCTCAATAGCACTTTGCACATCAGCCCTGGCACCCCAATGCACAGCAATGGAAGGCTTCAGGAGTGGCATCAAAGTTGCAGTCACCTGCCCCAGGCCCATGAATATGGGATACACAATGATATTGGAAAGAGAGCATGGGAAGGTGTGGCAATACAGTCAAGGATATCTGATCTCTGGTATCATCCCCTTTCCTTTTCCCTATGTGTTGGTCGCTTGTGGCATTTGTCCTTGTCTGTGTGTCCATCCCAGTCCATGTTTTTTTATATTATTAAAAAATAATATGTGAAAAATTAAGGCCTAGTGAGAATCAATAGAATCTGGCAAAGTATAGAACTCCTAGGCCTATGAGATTTCAAACTAGTTCCTTTTCTCAGCCTATTCTAGAAAATGTGTATGCAAAACGTTGATTGGCGAAGAACAAATATTTATGCATACAACTACGACCAATTGCATTAGTGATCATGTGATACTGGAGTCACTTCCTTTGCATAGAAGTGCAAGCACTAGGGTGACTGTCGTTGCTCGGAATACTGAATGTAGACCTACGTTTTGTTTGGTTTAGGTTCAGGGAATATGGAATGCATTTACCTGGCCACTTCTTGGTGGTAATCATAGTCCTCATCCTGCATTTCCCATTCTAATTTTCCAGTAGTGGGGTTGAAACTTTGCGTAAATGTCTTCATTTCTGATGATGCATCAGCACGAAAAGATGTCTCGTTAATAGACCTCACCAAGAAACCCGATCCACAGCCGAAATTCGGAATCGACGAACGACAATGCAACCAGTGGAAGCACTTGACACGGTTGGGTAACCTGAACGCGAATGGGATAAATCTGATGAGGGTGGAGGAGAGAGATGGCATGCGAACACGTGCAGGCGGCGACAAACGCACATGTAACACAGCACGTAGACATTTGTCGCACAAGGATGCAAATGGGTGCTGAACCTTCAGAACTGTATTAAGCAGGATCTCTTTAAAGTCAAACGAAAATCACTAGATTTTCGCAACAAAAAATTTCTAAATTAATTTACATAAAAAGTACAGCCGACTGATATAATGTTGCACAATGCATGAAGAAAATGTATTGTGGCAAAGAAACGACGACTGATTTCATAACGGCAATTCAGTTTCAGTCGCAGTTGGGTTCTAATTTCAGTTCAGACTTCGGTCTGACTGATGTTCCACTATGCTCTTGTCGACTACTATCATATTGCAGAAATGCAAACTGGAATGGAACTGAACAAGGACTGCACTGCTACTGGACTGCAGTCCTGAAATCAGCCATCTGGGAAAATGTGCTTCGAGTACCAATTTAGTGCGAGACGTAGGATCTTTCTTAAAAATAAATATATATATCGAGAGAGAGCCGTACCGAGAGGGCTGCGCGCGGTGCGCCGATTGCCTGCCAAATCACAACAAAATATGAATTAAACTTTAAAAAAATTGCAAATCATCCTCAATACAACTAAATCAAATATAGAAATTAATACGCAATGTATTGTTGATGCGGGGAAAAGCTGGAGAAGTTTAGCGGGGAGGGGGGGAGGGGTTGATATCTTGCACAGGGAGCCAAATATCCTGAGGACGGCGCTGATAATTTTTTTACTACTTATCCCTTTAAAAAGAATACAGGGTGGGTTTTCGCCCTTCCCCCTTGGAGCCCATTGGTATAAATTTAACATGAAAAACTTATTATTTCTGGAAAGAAAATATAATTTAAAAATTAAAAGTTTGAAGAGATACCTTTAAAATTTTTGCATGTCCACCTCCACCTGCTCACATGCATCCCTGGTCTCCAGGAATGGGCAGATAGAATGGAAGCCAGAAGTTTCTCTGTTGAGTACTTCACTGCACCGTTGGAAAGTGTAAAGGAATGGGCTGTGCTCTTTCAGTAACTTCGCAAATCGTGTCCTCGTAGTATGTAGAAATGCTGCTGGTGGATGCGAAATACACTGTATATCCACCATCCACCATAATTAAATGGTAGTCTACTCTCAAGATATGAACAGACAAGATATTACATTTTCTTGTCGAAATTATTCCACCCATTGGTTCCACAGGGGGGAGGGGGCTAATTATTGTGTGCCACCAGATATTATTTCCCAGGAAAAATTGATACCAGAATGACCTATATTATGATCTACCAAACTGTCGAAAAACCATCACACTTTCAATCTCTCTCAGAAGCTATCCCTCAAGTTTCAGAGAAAACCTTTCGCTAAGTGGCTCATTAAAAGACACCTTTCAAATGAAATCCAAGTGGTTTTTTTTTTTTAAGACATTCTCTGTTTGATTCAAAATACGGACGGTTTACACTGATTCCCAAATGTTAAATCCAAAATTAAGTTCCCCACGCAAGTTCTAGAGCAGGGGTGTACAACTTACGAGGCCCTTGCCCGCGGCCCACCATGGCTGGTGCCCCCCTCCCCCCGCTACTTTACGCAAATACTTGAATGTTTTTAAATATTAAACTTTTAGAAATTCTAAAGGATGCCTATCAGTGGGATGAAGAAGGAAGTCTCCCCAGGTTTTTAATGGAGGGCCGGGGGGGGGGGGGGGGGGCCTTGGAAAAGTGGGGCACGAGACAACAGGCCCCTTTGACCATTCCTTAATCCGGCCCTGACTGGAGGCGTTGGAAGGATCCTGCCCTGTTGGCCACGGCTACGGTCAGCTAGACTGAGGCCTGCGGTAGGTGAGTAAAAATCGCAATCGACCCTCAAAAGGTTGTGGCCTTTTGAGTTCTGCATCCCTTTTCTAGAGGTTCCAGCGCTGGTTAGGTATCAACACTGTGTCCACGGTTATATCTTCTGCAACTCTTCTGAGTGATCAAGGCAAAAGAAAGGCAACGGCTAATGGTACTTCTTTTTATCTTTCCGGTGAGAAGACATTTGAGGTTTGAAAAAAAAACTACCTACTGCAAAGCCCACGAGACCTTTGACTTAGCTCCATTTGTGCATACCCGTATGCACAAGTGGAGCTTAGCTAAGGACCTCGTTGACGAAAAAGAAGTCAACGCAAATTTTTACGATAAATGCAAAATGTTTCAAATTCAAGAGGGAAACGTGTATTACCTGAAAACTTATTTCATGAAATTTCATTGTTGGAATTCGTCCGTAGGAATGTGAGAACCCTTACATGTGTGTCTTCGGTTTCAAACTCCAGAGACTCCAGACTCCATTTGTAGCCTTTTTATTCTCAAAACGTTGATAATATCTCAACCAGAAAAGAAGTAGACCGAACCGGTCTGGCCATCGAACTGGGAGCAATTGTATGCATAACCCTCCGTGAAGTAGTTCTCCCAGGTGCTTGAATCGAAGAGGCTGGGGTAGAATTGAATGTGCTCGCCCTCCTCCTCTACGTGCATGGGGACGGAGTTCCACGCGTATCCATCATCCGTCCGGTAATTATGAATGAAGGAGTTACTGGGAATGACCATCCTCGAGCTTTGACCTGAGGGATCCGCATTGATGTGAACTTGAGAGATCGGGGCACCGCCGATGGCCTGGACTCCGGGTCCGGCTTCGCATTCGTGGTACGGAGAGACGAAGCTCAATCGCTGACCCATCTCAATCTGGCTTTCCAGGTCAGAGTAGCTATAGACTGATTCCCTGTGAATTATACGTAGCTTTGTCACAAGTGAGGCGGTTATTCCCCTACATTATCTCCCAAAATCATTCCATTGCCATCAAAGGTATTACTCAGATTTGTTTTATGTAGGAACGATATCTTTCTCATAATTTTTTTTGAAAGCAGAGTATAAATATATTTTCCTTTCTAATGACTTATGAGTATGCATAATGGAACGGGGAGACTTCCTTCTTCATCCCACTGATAGGCATCCTTTAGAATTTCTAAAAGTTTAATATTTAAAAATATCTATACCCAAGCAACACCGGAACGTTCAAGGAATGTTCAACCCACGTCCTATTTCAGGTACAGCCGACCTGCAATGAACGTCCTCATAAAAGTCCTATTAACAGGTTCATATGTCCAAAATTTAGATTGTCCAAGAACGCGAACTTTTTTTTTTGCTTCCTGAACGTCCAAGGACGGGAAATAAATATTCCCAACAGTGCCAAAACGTTCAAAGAACTTCCTCTTTTTTTTTAATTCAGTAAATAAGCTACGAACATTGTGGAAACATTCTCGTCACCATTTGAATTGTTCTAACTAAAAAAAACGGACTCCTGAGCATGAACACGTGCATCACCGCTCTTTATGGAAGCAATATTCGTCAAACTTGTAATTTGGATAGACTGACGTATCCCATATAGATGTACAAAATGTTGCCGAAGTTCGTTTAAAAGGAATCAGAAATAGAACATGAACTTTCGGGCTTTTCCGCGTGAGTGACTCCGACGATCTCCACTGCACTGCTACATGAACGAAGGACATAAGAATCCCAAGGCCTCAGAAGCCTCTGTAGAAGTGTAAAGAGCGTAGTGCCTTTACCTGGGATCGGCATCGGCGACGAAATAGACTGCGTTTTCAGAGAAGGAGCAGATGAACTCTTCGAATATTCCGTCCGGGTAGGAACCGTCCGGGTAGTGCATGTGCCAGAGGAACTCCACCGTGCCAGTCTCGAACACTCGCCATTCCTTCAAGTCGAACCAAGTACTGCCGCCATCTTCTATTCGTTTCAATCGAGGTTCGAAAAAGCGCAAAGAGTGTTGTGCATTTGGCGAAGTGAGTTTCCAAATGACTCACGTGGGAGGGAGAATCCCGAGAAGGCAAAGTATTCCAGAGGACCAAACGCCGTGTCGTTAAACAGCTCCCACGCAAGCAATTTCTGACCGAAGATCTGCAAGGAACACCAAAACCAGTCGATTTTGATAAGAGAATTGGGACAATTTTTTTCCTTTGAAGGCATTAATAACGGATACCTCACATGCATTTAAAGTTTCCTTAGAGCGTAGAGCGCGAATAATTATAATTTTATTTATTTATTTCTTCCTCATCCACTAAGAAACGAATTGGCAAGAGGCAGTAAAATTATCTCCGGCCAGAGACTTCAAATTGCAATAATCATAGGATAGCACGCAAGAAGGCGGTATGGTGAATGCTCAGCTCACCAATGGGAAATCAAGTTCGGGATTGTTGGTGACGTTAATACACGTGGTCGTGTCCAGAATGACCCAGAGTTCCCTCCCTTCCAGTAATGCCTTCACTGTTTCCTCGTAATCTCTGTACTTCACCGTCTCCTGCTCTGAAGGGTTACAAAATATATGCTTGAATAAAGAGCAAAGAAACGAAGAGACATTATGTGCAAAGAGAGAGTATACGGGTCAGTGCTGTAACAAGGAGCTGTGCGAGCGGTAGGCGCCGAATTAAGGGGGGTGCCGATTGGCTGCCGAATTATAACAAAATATGAATAAAACCTTACAATTTTCAAATTATCCTGGATTTTAATAAAAATAAACAAAGAAATTGTTAGGTAATGTATTGTCAGTGCTGGGGAAGCTGGAAGAGAGGCAGAGGGTGGAGGGGCGAGCCTGGGTTGATCTCTCGCACAGGACGCCAAATATCCTCGTACGGCGCTGATGCGGGTTGATGCAGAGCTCATTTTCATTGAAGATATGAACATACACCATTAAGGAGTTCGGGAATTTCATTGCCTCCAAAATTCCATTTCATTATAAGTAGAACTTGTTAAAACCATTATCCCGAAACAAAGGAGACCCTCCAAAATAGGTTGTACTTGATAACTAAGGTTAATATCAGTAGTAGAAAGCTCCTGGCTCAAACGCCAATGCACAAAGGCTCTAAAATAAGAATTACATGTTTTCGAAAGGGAATATCCGATTTCTATCTACCAGTTTACGATGAGAAGCATCCTGTTGTAGATTGTCTGTCAAATGAGACACCATTCTGGGCTGAAAAGCAGTGGATTAGTCTACGACGGTATAAAAAGCCTGAAATGCGATGATGGGTAGTGCCTATCAAGTATTCGTCAATATCTTCCTGTCGAGCCCTAAATATCTCTGCTCACACTGGGGCTATTTCCTGAAACTTTCACCATCCATACATGTTTCCAACTGATACTCAAGTTTTCGTCCAATTTTGTTTCAAACGAAGCAGTACCATCAGCAATTATTGGGAAAAGTTATGCATTAAGAATGAACAAGAGCTCCTGTTGTTAGTGGAAGAAACACTCGAGCGCTGTCCTTCCTGGTAATCACCCTGGCAGCATACACACGTGGGACTAACGTTGGGCCTACGTTGGAATTCAACATGGGCAATGTTGAATTCCAACATTGGTTTCCAACGTTGAGCCAACGTCAAATGACAACATGCGGCATGACATTCAGGCGATTCAAGGAGGCTTTGATTGAGATTGTATTTCCGTACGTAATTGTTCAACTCCCCTACAGGGGACCATACCACCGAGTCTCTCTCGGTCGGGCTTGAGGTACTCCAGGGAGAAGTACTTCACTCGATTGTCATCTTTTGAGGCATTCAAATTCCATATGGGATTTGAGCCTCATTGTGAATTCACTCTTCACTCAGGCTCATTATCCGATATGGAAGTGCTTGATAAATTTCACACTTCTAAATATACAAATTAGGATTGTAATCTTTCCCCCATTGCAATTGCAGGGAATGTCACTAGTAACAATGGATATACAGGTTCCATCGAAACTAAATATATGATTTAGATTTGATGGAACGTTGCAAAGCATGTCTTACATAAAGCAACATCACAAGCACTGCAAATTATGTTACTTTTTTTCCTCTTTATTGACTGATTTTAAAAGTCTTTTCTACATGTGCTGCAATGCGCACAACGTCTGAAGGTTGGGACTACTTCTGGCAGATGAGATCCAACATTTACCAGTCTCAGTATTTTTTAACAGTTTTCGTCCCAGATGGACTGTTTCGCTTTCTTGCGTGACCACTCATTGGAGCAGGGCCTCTCCTTTTCTTGTTAGAGAAGGTCCCATTTAGCTCATTCACCAGTCTCGAACGAAAATTGAGGTGACTCATGTGGTTTCCTTTTCTTGCTTTTACGGTCTCCATATGCAGAATAAAGCTATTTACTATCACACAATTCAGGAAGTAATAAAACAGTTTTACCCACCATCTCCTTGACTTTCGACATACACTGTAAACTGCTAGGTACTGATCAAATCTATAAGGTATCTACTCCACCCATATATTTCATTTGCGTATTCTTTTTGAATTTCTACGCAACACAGTTGTGCGAGAAGTGTCATGCATGTTGCTCAGTACACATACAGACTTCTTTACACGGTAGAACAGGAGTCACTGTCATTTACTGTAATTTTCCTTATGAAACTGACAAGATGTAATCAAATTAGATGCAACATCATCCTGGAAGCCCTTCCCTTGTGTTGCTGTTAGGTGTTCCAATGGACAAATTGTTTGCATCTGAATCACCTCCAGCATCAGAACTAATAGGTTGCTCTTAATCAATTTCAACTCCTTCAAGAAGCTTCATTACATCTGCATATCTGAATGTCATTTTCCTGTCAACTGTAAGCAAAAAGTATTAATACAAGAGAAAAAGGGTTCAAATAATTTTTTTCAGCTGTGCCGAAAAATAGTTCCCAACCTAGAACATTTAAGAATTATGAGCAGTGCAATGATTGAGTCGCAGAAAAACTTAAAGCTGAAGACTAGAAAAATATTTAAATTAACTATGGAAATATCACGTTTCCGTCAGACAGTGCTACAATGCAATTCTTCGCATTAGCGAGAAAGGGATGTCCTGCTGCGTGCATGTGAGATGGGAGGTGGGAAACCATTATCGCAGTAACCTATAAGAGGTTAACAGGAGTCTCCTTGGACTTGAGAAATTCCTATGTCTTCCTTCACGTTCTTTATGGAAATGGATCAAGTACCGCAAGAAAGGAACTGGGGTCTAAAATTAGTGAATCACTCCTTGATCCCACTGAAATAGTGGCTGTATGTATCCTGAGTTATGACAAATGTTGGCTGCCGCCCTAGCGCCAATGTAGGGCCAACACGGGCAGCAAATTCCTATGTTGGGCCACTTTTCCTCACACGCAGCCAATGTGGGGCCAGCATCGGCAAGCCGACTGGGATGTTGGCCCACTTTCTCCCGCTCGAAGCCAATGTGGGCCCACCGTTGTTTGCTGCCGGGGCAAGACCACGTCGACCTCCTCTTCCATTTAAATTCATTATTTTAGCTGATTGTCACTTGTAGAGGGTTTTCGCGAGAAGCAACGACTTTGAGTGTATCTCATGATTGCTAGAGTCTTTTCCCCCCAAATTTGCTAAGGATATAGAGTGTCTTAATTCACTTGAAAGTCAGCAAGGCTGCAAATATCAATTAATTCAAATCGAAGTTATGAGGAACATTCTATGACGTTTGAAATAGACAGTGCCTTTCTCGAACCCAAATTTATTGACCTAATGCTTAACCAAAAAAAGGAAAATTCTTTCCTTTTCTCTGGGTCTTGATATTGTTTCCCCAAAGGGAAGCACAATTATGGAAGTAGCGGCAGCAAAACCGGATCAATATGACACATCTTAGTGAGAAGCACCTCGGCATACGTAAGTCTAGCCATGGGAAGGGCTCAGGATGACTTAGAATCTCCAGAGGGTTTATTGGCGATATTATTCAAGCGACGTTGAGACGATGCCAATAAACGTGCAGGTGCAACAAAATTCGGTATCTCTTGAAGAGATTCAAAATTCGGATAAACTCAAAGGCATACACATACTGTATTTCTGCACCACTCTGTATAATGGAGAGTAGCGTTACTACCTTCCACCTCCCAGCTGAAAAATAATGGCATTAATTTGTCATTTCAAATTAAGCTTTCGTTCTTCAATAGGGAAGATTACCCAAGCAACATGTTCTCATAAGCAAGATATCCATTTTTTTCAGCGAACAATGCCAATTTCTTGTGATTATTATGCAAAAGATATCACATTCATATAAAAATTTACATTCCTCAATTTACATCACAAAGTGGATGTGTATTGCATATAAAGTAGACATGACTTAACCTGATATAAAGTTTATGCAAAATCAACACCGCACTATCCATCTGAAACTTTAGCTGACTCTCCTGTAGTTGCAGTACCAATAGTCCTCACTAGATGGAACGCATGTTCCCTGCACTTACAAACGCAAGTACCTGCTTTCCTGGTACAGTATAAGGTTTTCCTCTCATGCTTCTCCTTATTGTGTAATTTATAAACATATATTAGAAAAACATAGAATTATGATATTTTAAAAAATAATATATGGCTCAAGGAATTATTAACTGTTGAAGTTAAATATGGGAATACAGGAGTGTATGAGAATAGAGAAGAGTAGAATGTGAAGCTCCTCCAACATCCCACCTTTCATATCCTCTATGCAAGATGGTACTCATTAAAACTCTTCTTATGCTATCAGCGTTGGGTGTGTAAGAGAATGAAATGTTGGGTGTGTAAGACGGGAGCAGTAGGTCATCTTGATACTCTTGAGTACTCTTGCGGAAGAGTACTTGTGCACTCTTCCGAATACACTAGAGCTCCAAGGTGTGGAGGCGAATCGAAAATGCATGGCGGCATTAATTCCCTTCAAAGTTGGTGAGTTACTCATTATGAAAATTCACATAAATATTGGACAAAAATAACATCAATTTCATATAATCCATGTATATATAGGCGATCGTCACTGAGTGAGTGGCTGACGCTGATTTTAACCATGCTCTAGAAAAGCAAGAAATCTGAAACTTGGTGGACATTTACCTTCTGGGATGCAGAGTTAATAAAAATATTCGACTTTGAAGGTACATGCCCTGGGCATCCATTTTGGGGGTAGATGTTTTCTATTAAACATATTTGCTTCAATCAAACGGAGAGACATGGAAAGCTAAAACTTGATATGGACGTGCCTACTGAGACTCTGAATTCAGGAAAAATGTCAAGTTTTGTGGTGCATACCCTCAGGGCACAGCTTTTCGCTGCTTCGGCCTTCCCAAAGAATTTTTGCACCAGTGAAAAGGTCTAATGGATAAGGCTGAAACTTGGTAGGTATGTAGTTCTCCGAGTACTGATTTCAGTAAAAATGTTAATTTCTAGGTGAAACCCCTCAGGGCACGTTTTTTCCAAGAGGCTCATTTTCCCGAATCTTTCTTGGTCCAACGAAATGGAGAGCGATAGAAAGTTGTAACTTGACGCAGAAGTACCTCATGGATTGGTGAGTAAAGAATAGATCCTGCTTTTGAAATATATCCCATCTGGGCATATTGTCCGAGGGAAGTATTTCAAGATTTATTTTTCCTTCTGACAAATGGGAACATATAAAGAGATCTGAAGTTAGGCACACAAGAAAGTATCGGAGAAATGATTTCAATAATAACCTCGATCATGTCCCCTCATGGCACGTATTTCGACATGGATGTACTTTAAATATGTTTTTGCCACTTCGAAAAACGTAATTACTAAAAGCTGCAATTTGGTACACAAGTGTTCTCTCAATACTAATAAAAAGTAATGTTTTTGGTTGTGAGGTTTATCCCAAAAGTCTTTCTTTTTCTTTAAGGGATTTTCCTCCAAAGACATTTTCGCTGCGAGAAGCTTCAAATGGAAAAAATAGATAACTGATATTTGGTAAACCTGCAGTTCTTAGGATACATTTTGTTTGAAATTTACTATTTTTACTATTTTACTAATTGTATTCCTAAAGGGGCCTTATTCTGTTTAAACACATGTTTTCCCCAAAAAATTTTCGCTTTCACGAAACTGAGAGATAGGAACTGAAACTTAAGTAGAAAGATACTTGCACACATGCATATTTCGAAAATGACAATTTTTTCGAACATATATCCTTATATGCCTAGGTATATGCTTTTTTGGCATACTATTTGGCGAGACATTTTCCATGAACATTATTACTTCAAGAAGGCAAATACGGAAAAATGAAATTCCGCCAGGATTATCTAGAAAAGATTATTCCAGGGAAATTTCTCCTTTCTAAGCTCCATTTCAACGCGGCAAAATTTTTTATGCAGCACTTTTCCAAGAAATGTTTTTCCAAAAAAATCGAATGGGTATAGAACGCTAAGGTACGATAGGTAGGGTGGTTAAAAAAAAAACGCTCTACCGTTTTCTATGGGAGAAACACGGTTTCATAAATTCAGCAAGCAAATTAAATTGGATAAGTGATCGATATTTGACAGCTACAAGGTGTTGAAATGCTTGTCAGCTTTTTTTCAGCACTCCTGCCTAAATTGTGTAATGCCCATTTAGAGGTGAATTAAAGGTGCTTGGAGGTGGAATGCTACACCTCCAAGTGAGGTAATGACCTGTGCTCGACCGTCTCAGAATGCAAGGAACTTTTCAACTTTAAATTTTAAAGGACAGTTGGATCCAGCTGATACATCCCAAGTAGCATGTTTATGTTAATTTTATGTAAACTGAATGTTAATTTTTTTGTCCATTTTATATCTATTTTACGCAAACCATAATCAAGATAATGTCAACATGTTTGCAGAAATGTCACCTCTGTAATACGTAAACGGTGATATAAAATAAACGTAAATTTTACGTAAAATTGATGTTAATTTCCCCCTAACATTCATGCGTATTTAACGAGATCATTCGTACTTTTGAAGGGAATTGATGCACTTTATTTCTCCCATTCACTTCCATACTTCGGAACTCAAGGTTACTTGGACGAGTACAAGAGTCCTCATTCTCACCAGCACTCAAGAGTACCAAGATAACGCACTAATTCCTCCTCCCGTACTAGGACCTCGGAAGAAGGAATACATATTGAGAGAAGTTCTTTTCCGTTAAAGGGGAAAGAAAGTATAGTACTTGCGAACTGAGATTCTACTCTTCCCTAATCCCGTGCACTGCTGTAATAATAAGCTTAGCTTCAGCATCTAATGTTTCCCTGAGTCATATATTATTTAAAATATGTAATAATTCCCTGCTTTCCATATATATATTCATGGACTGCATAATAAAAAGTGAAAGGATGGTAAGAAAACCTGATACTATATCGGGAAATCCAGTACTTAATATCATTTGTAGGTGCAGGGAACAAGGGTTCCATCTAGTGAGGAATCTTGGTATTGCACTGCGGGATGGTCAGCTAAAGTTTCATATGGAAAGTGTGAGGTTAACTTTGCATAAACTTGATATCATGTACTTCACATCAGATGGAGTGACGTCTAGTTTACGTAAAATACATGTACACTTTGGTGACGTAAATATAAGAACGTAAATTTTATGTAAGCGTGATGTCATTTTCAGGGCAATTGCAAGAAATTTACATTGTTTGGAAAAAATTGATATCATGTTTGCGTAAACATGCTGTTTGGGATGACAGAGAGGTTCATGAGTCTAAGAAGTTTTTTCACTTCCGCAAGATGGCGCTGTATCCCGAAAGAGGCCGCTGTTGTTGACCAGGTGACCGAGGGTGAATACAACAAAGCTCCACTATTCTCAATGATACTCAAATGCAACGCATGCTACATAGTATACATGCTGCTCAGGATGTGAAAGTGATTGTCTATTTCATGCGATGCTCTCATCAATTTTATATCAGAGGGGAGATTTCCGTAAACATGTTGACAATATGGTGGTAAAGGTTTCTATAAAATGGATGCAAAATAAACAAAAAATTTACATTAACTTTATATAACAACATAAACATGCTTGTTTGGGGAGTTAAACAAAGCCGAAACTTGCCAAGAGGGGAAGCATAATGTACAGAGGAGTTGCTGTAAAGACATCTGTCAAAGTCCCTGGACAAAGAGTCCCATCCGGCGGGGTCGACCTGCCCCCTCTCGATATAGATTCCATATTCATCGGATGACCAGCTCCCTCCAACAAGCAGCAATGTCTCCAACGCGAAATCTTCTCCCGCCAACCCATTCCACTGGAAGCCGAAGTTCCACGTCATCACAGCCACCTCACCTTCAAAGGGATGGACAAGGTCTTCATTTTTCATTGCGCGCCTCGTCGTCGTGAAATGGGGATGAACGACCTGAACCACTTGGATGTTCGGATGAAATTTCCAGAAACACTCTAGTAGGGGTTGAACGATGAAACGTAGGTGCACTTTTAAATCTTTTGCTCTATCAGCGAAAAGAAACGTTTCGTTGAACAACCTTGATAGACTAGACCTATGATAATTCATTCGTTGAGTTGTCTTTTAGTAACGTTACCTGTTTCTAAATTCCCTTATACAATTCAATTGTACTATGGGAACACGTTAGATGGAATTTGGCATAGATCATAGGTAAAAAGCAGAGTTTCGCTTGAAACTGTTTGGTGGTATAGCTGAATAATTTTTAAAACAGGAAAAAAAAGTTTTGTGTGAACGGAAGGGCATGGATCAGCATGAGTGGCTCGCTAACTTGCAGTGGATTGCATATGTACTGTAGGTCCCACTTTGGCTCTATTGCAGTAGTCAACATTTGTCCCATCTGCCGGCAAGTCATCCATCCCATTTATTCGAACAAACGATGTTTCCACAATTGAAGCGATATGGCTTCCAAATGGCTATTTCTGATTTCAGAGAGTGACTTGGTATAAGTCCCCATTCTTTCCATCCCGTTCCTGACCTTTTCTCACATAGAGACACGTTCAACTAGCCTAGAAACGTTCAAATGATGCTTCTTGCATATCCTATTTTAAGGATTTGCGTACGTGGTGAACGTCCCTGAAAGGATTCATGGAATGTTAAAATATCCTAGATTTTGAACATGAGAAAGCAGTTAAACTTGTAGCTGGAGTCATTCAGGAATTTCAGGAAGAACATTGGTGCTCAAATAGCACCTTATTGGAGCGCCAAAAACGTTGATAGCCCACGAAGGTTGAGCATTCCAGGCCTCCTAGAGCATAAATTGAACCTTTTCAGTACGTTCTTGAGCAACTTGGGGCTTTACTCTCCCTGTTCACGAAGCACTTTTTTTTTTCCTGTTCAAGTAAATGAAAGTTCAATTTTCTCGAAACTTCTTCGTTCCAGTTACTTTCCTATCATTATTCATCCATGTATTCTATTCCTTTATAAGTGGCTACCGTCAAATAAGTAATTGGGAAGCTGTTTACTTTCATCAGGAAATCCGTAGAAATAGTGGACGGATGAACCATGCCAGACGGCATGATCGGGCGGAGGGTATTGGTTGCAATTGTGTCGGTATAAGATCGCCTCCACTCTCTTCCCTTCCAGCAATGCTGCACGGATCGAGGAGCCATTCTCGTGGCGACTGTCCAGGAAACAAAAATAAATAAATAAAATGCTTTCCAGATGAAATCGCTCTATCCAAATCATGAACAGGAAGTGAAAAGAAAGTAAAAGAAGATAAACTTGATCAAATGACTATTTTTTTCCTTTTGCAGAAGCTGACTTAAGAGCGATCAATTGTTACCAATTGGGATTAGGTTTTAGTCCTTTGTAAAATACCAGGGATGATCGGGAAGTAACAAGACAAGGCGTATGGTTTTGAAATTTAGGAGCTGTAGATCGATAGTAGCATGATAGGCGCATTCGCAGGCTCATGATTGGAGACTCTGAGAGCTGTGAGCCGAGGCCAGTGCCGCAAGCCATGAGCAGCGGCAGTTTGAACATGCTGACTCGCTTGGAAACACGGACATGGGAAGAAGTTCGCAGTGTTATCCGTTTTTTTTTATGGGCGAAGAACGTGCCAGAGGCCGAAAACCTCGACAATTTGTGGTAGTGTACGGAGACATTGTCACGAACTGGCAGAACATGGCAGAATGGTGCAAACAGTTTCGAAATAGTGAAACGGGCGTTAATTCCCGCCGAGCGGAGTGGCCGCCTGAAAACAACCACGACTGATGTCAATATCATGCAAGTCGACAAAGTCATCAAGGAGGAGAGACAGAAAACCATGCGTGCGGTTTTGCGACGGCTCAGCCTCTCGTACAGAGTGTGTTCGACATCGTCCACGACGTGTTACGGTACTGGAAGATGTCTGCGCGCTGGGTACCGAAGGCCTTAACCCAGGAACACAAGGCTAAACACACGGCCTGCAGCCTTTCCAACCTATAACGGTATGCTGTGGAGGGAAACGTATTTCTGCAGTGCATTGTCACAGGCGACGAAACATGGGTCCCCCATTTCACGCCCAAGTACAGAGAAGCATCAATGGAATGAAAGCTTGCATCATCGCCCGTGCGAAAGAAATTCAAAGCAACAGTCTCAGCGGGGAAGGTGATGGGAACTGCCGTCTGAGATCAGGAGGGTGTGCTCTTAGTCGACTTCCTGCAGCACGAGTCAACTGTTAACGCTGCTGCATACTGTGCAACGCTGGAGCGACTGCGTGAAGCCATCCAAATGAAATGTTCAGGGCTCCTCACGAAGGGTGTCATCCTGTTGCAGGATAACGCACGACCCCATACCGCCTGCCAGAAGCAGAAGCTGTTGAAGAAGTTTGGGTGGGATCCTCGATCATCCTTCATATAGTCCCGATCACGCACCCAACGACTTCCATCTATTTCAGCCTTTGAAGAAACACATCAGCGGACGTAATTTCGCTACAGTATCTGCAGTTCAAGATGCGGTTCAAGAGTGGTTACACGCACAATACATGGTATTCTATTAGGATGGCATTGAAGAGCTGGTTCTTCAATGGAGCAAATGTCTCAACCTGGGTGATGACCATGGGGAGAAGTAGTGCAGGGTAGGTTCTACCACAATGCATGTGTGATAGGTTCTAAAATAAATTGCTTTCAGAACTACAGGGCTTGTCTTGTTACTTTCCGATCATGCCTCGTATAACGTCTACGAATAAGCAGCGGATTGAAAAAATATTGGCACTGTGTACATGTAGCACAAATGCTTCTTTAATTCAATTTCTGGAAAAGGTGGGAAAGGTAATGACTTAGTCAAATCAAATTGGTCAATCAATGGGTGGAACTTCCCGAATTTTTTCTGTCTTCTTTTCGCTCTTTACATTTCATTTAGTGTATATTTTCAGTCTTCATTATTTTATTTCTTGCTCCTAATGCTGATTTCTCTCAACACAGCCCGAGAAGGAGTACCTACTAGACGGGTATCCCATCGGAGACGAAAGAAACGCCGTTGCCATCGAGGGAGCAGGAAAACGTGGTCTGCTTCACGGCGATCCACTCCGGCGGTCGGATTCGCGAGTCAGTCACGATCACCTCGCCGTTCCCTGTCACGGTCCCGTGAACGTGACGCCAATGCCCGTCGTCGTCGTCTGCCAAGTATGAATCGGTATCCTACCTTTTCAAGACTCATCAGGCACTCCTTTCAAGAAGAGTACATAATTTTCTCGTATTCACTGATTTTTTGAGTCTCCATCAAAGAAACAAAACCAGAAACCCAAACAGCAGTTCAAGGAATGTTCAACTCACGTCCTATTTCAAGTACAGCCAACATGCAATGAACGTCCTCTGAAACGTTCTGCTGACTGTTCAAATGTATATTTTTTTAATTAGTGTTCAGAAACAAATATTATTCGTTCCCTGAACGCTCATTAAGGACGTGAATTGACTTTTCCCAAGCAGTTTCAAAACGTTCCAGGAACTTCTCCTTTTAGAATTCAGCCAATTTATAAACTATGAACATCCTGGAAACGTTCTCTTAACCACATCCACGTCCTAAATGCAAATAGAGTCTTGCTCCCGCACCAGGGACCATCATGCAACAGTAATTTAAATTCTGATTGGAGGAACTACCATCCCTCGTGGAGGAAGCTATACTAGTAGTACGGTGTCCCAGCCATCCTTCCTGTCTCCTTGAGGTGTTCCAAATTTCTCTCCTAGTAGCAGAACCTTTCTTGATATCTCCATCAGCTCAGCAATGCTTTCCATGCTCGGATGTTACGTGTCAAAATACAGTGACTCACAAAAGTAATGTTACACCTGCCGATTTTCACTAAAGTCGAATTTTTCCGCGAACAAAATAGATCGGTCCTCACTTGCCAGTACATTTAGATAGAGCTCAATGTGCTCTACAGCTGCAGCATTTGTCGGGCATTATGGTTACTACTAAGGAGAAATCACAAAAGGGGTCCGGATCGGGGTTGCATTACATTTGACACTTTGGCCACGAAGTGCAATTAGAGACAATTTGTTCATTCAGAGCATCTCAATACATGCCATTGACACTAGCAGATGTTCACCAATGTGTGTAGTCGCCTTTGCCCTTGATCACGTATTTGATTCTCTCAGGCATGGTGGAGATCAGCTTGGTACAGATCTCCCACCTCGAGGCCATTCCAGACATCTTGAAGTTCGTCCCAGAGATCTTGACCTTGGATCGGTCCAGGAAGCTTCGCAAGCATCGATCTACTTTGTTCCAAATGTGTTCAATTGGGTTCAAGTCTGGTGATTGGGACGGCTGGTCCAGGGCTCGCATTTCCCTCTCCACGAACCACTCCTAAGTTTGCCCTGCAGTGTGCTTGTAGTCATTATCGTGCTAGAATACGATGTCTGGCACTTGCAAATTATATGCAATGCCCAACAAATGTATCTGCAACTGTAGAGCACATTGAACTCTATCTAAATGTACTGGGAAGTGAGGGCCGATCTTTTTTGTTCGCGGAAAAGTTCGACTTTAGTGAAAATCGGCATGTGTTGCATTACTTTTGTGAGTCACTGTGTTATTTGGATGGAGTCTTCATCGCATCCGGATGTATCTCCTCTTGAGGAGGATTCAGACAAAGACAGATCTGGCATAATAGGATATCCTGAACCATGAAGTTTTAAAAATCCTAGCAAGCCCCCATAATGTGAATAATAGTGATTCCCTCCTGCGGTGAAACGGAGGACCAAGTCAGCTGGTAGATATCTACTGAGTATGAAAAGAGAGATAAAAGAAAGGAAAACCAAATGACAATCAGAAAAAAATAAAAGGGATGCACGACGAACTGCCCAGGGTGCCACATGGGGTAATTACAGCCCTTCTCTGACGATTTCCCACATTCCCAGAACTCAGAGGATCCACTCTCATACGAGATGACAAAAGTAAGGAACTAAAAATGGCACAAATATACCTGTGATTGAAGAGACGTCCACGTGGATTTCCCTCACGGATCCCACCTCCACTTCCTTCCAGTTCTCCACCCGGGCCCAAAAAGACTACAAAGAGAAATTCCAGTGACATCAAGGTGGAAAGAAAGCCTGGGGGACGCATAATAAAGAACAGACGAACGTATTGTTCCCCCGAAGGATCGCCGCTCAAGACGTCGCAGTCCGGGAAGTTCACCATGAGGGTGACACTGTAGCCGCCGCTCAGGAGTGTCAGCACCTCCTCGTACGTTCGGGCTCTCCGCTCTTTTCATGGAGGGAAATTAACAATTACCGTCATACAATATTTGAAACTTGACCATGCAAGAGTGCACGAGTGAGTCTTCAAGTAGAAGAGATGGGGAAATCGAGGGAATGACATATGTGATGAAGGCAGTGTCGAGAGGCACGACTGAATGTCCTGGGTTCGGTGGTGTAATGGTAGCACACCTGACCGGTAATCAGGAGGCCCGGGTTCAATTCCCGGCCGTCCCCTGGCTTTCTTTCGTCCTCTCTCGTCCATCCAACCTCCCTACCTTCAGTTATTCACGTGACACATACATGTATGAGTCAACACTGTCCCAAGTAATCTCTCCAGATAAGCATTTAAAAATGAGAAAACAATGTTGCACGATAAGTTGCATGAGACAATTGATGACAAAACCCCGCTTCGCTTCCAAGTTATGCCTGGTATAAGCAACATCTTGTCGGCAAAACTGCACCTTGGATTAAATCTATTTCTCGAGTAAGGCCACGAAAACCGTAGATTTCCTCAAATCAATCTATTACATCACAATTTGGGCCTTTTCTTTGAAAGGCGTCATTTAAGAAAATGGAATCTGTTGATCATGGGTAAGTTCGAGAGCTGCATGAAAGAGCTCGTGAAAAAATTAAGTTTATACTTGTGCTGTCGATTGGACTCCTCTCACAGCAGTTTCAGGTGCGCAAACGTAGGTAGAACAAAAGGCGGTTCTCTCCGTGAACGAGAAATTTCTAGCTCGGGTGGCATTCGATGGAACTTAATTTTTCTTAAGGTGTGAGTAAGCTTTCACCTTGTGCATGGACGAGGAGAGGGGAAATGAGGATGAGAAACAACATTTTCCACATCGTTCGAGGATAAGCCGAAGATGAAGATGAACACTGAGGTTCTGTGGATTGCAGTCGACAAATCCCCATGCCAGATAAATTGCTTCTTACATAACTGAGGGAAAATTTCCCATCTGGCTCCCTAGACGATAAATGCGCCATTTCTTATCGTCGTTTCGATGGACAGGTGAGGGAAGCTACATATTCCAATGGATCTGCATGACCAACCTATTCCTGTACTTCCGGCGATGAATTATTAAAGTCAATGAAAGAGGAAATGTCATTCAACTTTTGCAATTGAAATGGACTAACTGTGAGAACAAGAAGACATTGAAATGTTTACTGTGATCTAATGGAATGATCATTCGTTCCCGTGATTTATTTCCTACAAAAAGTTCATGCACATGAGAGTTATTTATGTGTGATGGTAATTTAACAAGATCTTCAATTAATGCATGCGTTATTCTGAATTACGTGATGTGCTACATAAGCATGACAATTCCAAAAAAAAGACTGATAAGTTGATATCAAATTTATGTTAACAGATGTTTGGGTGCTATCAAATGTACATTTCATCAATTAATTTATCATTGCTAATTATTCAAGGCTAGCTAATGTGTTACATTACGTTGTAGAAAGAGAAATTGTAGCAAGATCCTGCATTTCCCTACCTGCTTCTACTCCCACTTCCAGTTTGAATCCATGGTGGAATTTTCCTTGCAGATAGAGGGGATACTCCTGCATCAATGAATTTCCACTTGTCAATGTCAAGCTGGAATGGCTGGAGTTGAATGGCCAGACAGATTTTTTCCTGGGATTGGCTGAAATCATTCCTTGTAATATTATTCCTAAGATTTCCTTATCAGATTATGTATATTGTCAGCTCACGATGTTCCCATGTCCCGTAAGAGATAAATGAAAGCATTCCCTCATTCATTTGCAAATGAATCTGTGCTACTTCCTGCTGGGAGCTAGGTAAGGTCTTCCACTTCGCAGTTCGTAGTTAAACCAAAAATTAAAAATAGAGATGGCGCTCGTGTCTAAGCAGCTGAAGCAGCATCGCTAGCGCCTTCACTAATACATTTATCGACGAACCTATCTCCTGGGAGCATTTATTGTCACCCTGTGCCATCAAGGGTAGGTCAAACAAGCGTGCTGTTAGTGAGCGGATATCGAGTTGCTCTTTTTTAGCATCGCAATTGAAGGACTTACATCGTTGGAGTACTTTGAAAGGACGATATTTCGAGGCTGTTTATCATTTGGACCGCTCAATAATATTACAAGGAAGAAAACTGGAGGGATCCCTGACGGAATAAAGACCAGCCAGCGTCGTTCCTTTCGCATGTTAACGCTGCTCCAAAAACTCCATTTTCAAGAATGAAACAGTCCCCCATGAAAAAGCTGTCCCCAAGGACAATAAGAGGTGGCAAGGGTTGGCACTTGCCCAGGGGAGCCACAAGAAAGGGGAGGCTGGAAGAAGGGGGGCAAACTTTGACATGTATAGAAACTTGTTCACAAAGCGGGAGAACCTAGAGACGCAATCAGGAAAAATTCAAGAGCACGCACGATACACTACCTGAGCAGGGCCGTCCAGAGGGGAGGGGTGGGGGGCCACTGGTCTTGGGAGGATCGCAAGCGGGCCTTGGGAAATAACCTGTATGTCTTGCCTTACTGTGAGGTCGTGCGCCTAGGTAGGGGTCAGGCGAACTTAGCCTTCAACTGTTATCCTTGTTTTTTCATTACGTAACCGTAGGGTCAAATTGAACCCAGCAATGAAAATCTAAAAAAAAAGTTTTCTTGGAATGAAAAGTTGATTAGCATGGCAGGTTGCAAAACAGTTACGAAACCGCCTATATAAAGGTCCCTTTTTTCCATATGGAGGTAACTGGATGGACAAATTGATCGCAAGCGCTATCTCTCGGTCATCGACTCAATGAGGTTTCTTAGGACTCAATACCAGTTACGAGTTAAGGCAAGTTTTAATATTCTCCAACGTTTGACCTGCTTTGTAACGTTTCCATTTCAATAGCTTCAGTTGCTTAAGATATCTGGCCACATGCCCGTTTTAACCATGGATTCAGCCAACGCATTGGAACGGCGAAAGGGATCTGAGATAATAGTTCTTTGGCTTGAGTTGGGCCTATGTGTACTTCTTTTGCAATTGTCGGCGACACTTATTCAGGCTTGGCAGTTATATCCACAGAAATTAAGTTGGCAAAGGTCAATGATCACTGGCTACGTTTTCTTTTGTTTTTTAAGAATGCTAACTTGAGCAGGCAGAAATCCATGGACAATTAGACTGTGATGGACTCCACTCCAGCAATCACAAGGACTAGTGAGGTCATCACAGAACTAGCTCCCATAGAGGAAGTGACTCATGAGAAGTGTCATATGGGACAAAAATCTCACCTGGGAAGTCTCAGGAAATTTTAATTACTCTTTTCATTGCCTGGATCAACTTACTAGCTCCAATGTAAAATGACATGAGAGTTAATTCAACCCAAGAAGATAGTTGAAAGGTAACTTGAAGATGTCCTCTCAGATAGTTTTGAGCTAATTGAGGAGTTAGTTTAACCCCAGACTGTTGTTTTTCTGCATCAAATAGCCAACCATGGAAATTAGTAAGTCTAAGTAAAGCCCTAAGGAGATTTGGCATGCCCTAGAATGCAGAGGTGCAAGAAGACAATCAGGACTTTGTTGCAGCTAAGATTTAACCATATTTTTGAAGACTCAGATGCCAAAAATAGGCAACGGTTAAGCGTGTACCCCCTAACGAAATAGCACTCTTTCAGACTAAAATGTTTCCAGTTGAATTCAACTGGAAACATGCTACATCGATTTGGATTCCTTATTGCCTTCTGGCAGTCAAAGAAGCTAAAAGGCTAAAATACTACAATGTCAGGTCTGTCTTACCCTGTGGCTCAAGTAAATGTCATAGTACCCTGTCCCCTGCAGTCTCAATATCACATCTCCTCAGTATCATCATTTTCCTTACTGGTATAAATAATGTTAACATTCCTGCAACACAGTTTATCTTATACCTGGAAAAGCCGAAGGCCTTCTCAAGTATTCCCCAAACATGCTTGAGACCCTATACAGATACGATTAGTCATACTTGAATAATTCCATATTTTAAGGAAAATATTTGATGAAAGTATATACTTACCAGTACTACCCTGTGATGAAAACGTGTCCCAACACACTAGTTTTTTGGACTGGAAGGAAAATTTAGCATCAGACTTACTCTGAGTTATGAGAGAGTTCCTCCCTTTGAATCTTCAGGAAGGCAAATGTGACCCTTTGTAACTGAATGAGCTGAACCCTTTGTAACATAACAGAATGACCTGATTTTGTCTGGTCTTTTGATCTGCAGGAAATTATGGGAAAGATGGGAAATGTTCTTCAATGCCTTTGTGACCAAAACCATGAAAGTTTTCTTGACAGGAATGGCATGGAGAAAGAGTTGATACAATGTGTGGCCACTATTATTTTATTTTGGCTCTAGGAAATGCTTTTGCTAGAATGCACTTTTTCTCACTTTTGCTTAAGTAAGGAACTGTATTTAATTAACTTGCTGTTGATTTGGTTGGTGATTACATCCAATGACAACAGTTGGTAATTGAGCAAAGCATCTCATTGTGGCATGCTCTAGGGAAGAAGTGCAAATTGGTGTTGAAAGAAGAAAAGCTCCAGAATTGAAAAAAGGAAAGCACCAGAAGTGAAGTCATCAAGGTCTCTGTAGCAATGCTAGCAATACTTCTAGGATTCTGTCTGGCATGGAGAATTCCCTCTGAGTATTTATGGCATTCAGTTATGTGTCACAAAAAGCTTCAACAGGTATTGGCCATCCACTGCTGAAGAATTCTGCATCAGGTTTACATTCTCAGGTATTCATTGGATACTGTGTTAAATCTTTTCTCCCAATCTGTAGACATGAGAACTCATTTGCCTCCAGTACAGGAGGTGTACATTCCAGCATGCTTGTTAACATAAGAGTTAGTTTTTCCTCTTTACCTATATTGTGACAATGTATTTGTACAGTGGAGTTGATCAACATACACCTGCATTTGATGGGCCTACAAGGACCATAGGATGACAGATTTGGCTACTTGGTTATCACATTCAAGGTTCCAGGAGAATCAGGATTTATGATTATTTCTCCATTGTCACACATGCCACCT